GTGGAAGGCGGCAAGAAAGCAGCAGAAATAAAATAAATAAAACAAAATAAAGAAGAAGGAGGCTTGCAGACCAGATTTTTATCCTTGTGGCCTACCGGTGGTCTGTGGCCCACAGGTTAAGAACCACTGATTTATTGTATAGAAAGCATGATGGGTAATTTTGGAGTAAAAGATTAAATATGAGACCAAGGACCTAATTTGATTTCATCCCCAAATTTTTAGGATGGAACCATATCTTTTCCTGTTACAAAAACAAATTGTGAAAAAAATCAAGTACTTTCATATTCTGAAGTATCTGGTATTCAACTCCAATAGTCACACGTGAAAGTAAGTCTTAGAAATGAACAGTGGCTTGCTCACAGTGAGAAAATATCTGTATGTCCATCTATCTTTCACTTTATCCTTTGTGTTTTTCCCAAACTTGGATTCAAGGCAGCTTACAGAATAGAGAAATTGCAAATAAATATGCATTTGGCTAAACACATACAAAAAGTATCTTAAGTTATCAAGAGAATTAAAACCATTTAAAACGCCATTAAAAGAAAGAAAAGCAGTACAACATTTTTAAAGCCCCTTTGTAAAACAATCAATTTTTTAAAGTTAATGTCTGCCAGAGTAAAAATGTTTTGACCTTCTCACAAAACACATCAAAGAGAGAGCCAGCCCAACTTGCTTATCAAGTTCCTGCTTGTGCCCTGCATACGGCTTGATTGGATAGTAGTTTTAGTTGAGCCAAATATTAGATAGCAATCTAAGAGATACCTTTCCTGATTTTTTTTCGTAGTGCTGGGTTGAAATCTGTCGAGAATCACTCAAGCAGCATTTTATTAATAAGAGATAATTTTTATGGCTGAAAACTATGCCAGTAGGGTGACCCTTACCGGCACTTGCTCTCTGGTTTGACTAACTCTTTTTGATGAAATTTTCATTGAAACAAGGTCAAAGTATCAGTTAACATGGATAAAGATGATGCTGTCAAAGGTTGATTGAATTCACAGAATCCAGAAGGCGATTAAAGTTCAGCTTTAAAAACTAGATCAAGTTGCATGTTTCAGATGACACAGGTGTATCAATCTTTAATGGCAATGATGTGCAAGGTTTGTTGGAACTGAAACATTCCCTTGCTGGGTTGAACCAAAGAGCCATTGAAAATTAGTTTTTCATGCTTCAGCAATGGTGAACTGGAGATCCATGGGGAAATTCCTTGTGCTAGATTATTTATTTTTTGTTACTAGTAATGTACTGATCCTGAATTTATGCTCTTGTAATATTAACTGAGAACTTCTTTTAGATGCCTTTTCATCTCAGTTAATTTGAATAGAGATATAAGACTGGATATTTGGTAAAGAAATATTATTATGGGTTGCTTATACCGCAGATTTACCTAAGCTGCATTTTCTATGTGCATTTACCCAAGAGTGAGTTGTACTTCAGTCAACTTTCTGGCACTTACCTCTGAATAAATGAGCAGAGTGAGAGTAAAATAAGATTAACATCAGTGACTCTGAACTTATCTAAGAACATGATGTGTATTGCATGTTTTTGCTCTTTGTTTTTTTCTTCAACATATGCGCCTGTTATCACATAATAATATTACACAAAACAGCCGAGTTGCACAACATTCAGGCACTTTTCTAATGGTATGCTTGAGACTGAAATAGAAGTTTGCTTTGTAATTTGTCATTATGACACGTCAACTAAAGTAAGACTGCCTCTAATGATTTTGTTTTCGCCAAGAGTTTGCTTGGATGATTAAAAATTCAAGCCTTGCCTTTAGGGGTTGGTTCTGGTTAGTTATACTAAATCAGTGGCTTTTATTTCAAGTTAAGCTTTAACTTTAAAAAAATTGTTATACTCATTTATATGCTGCTGAACATAGAAATACCACAGAATAATGCAATATACCATAAATATCACAACAATAAAACACAATGCTCATCCATACAAAGTCAGTGTTCACACAGTACCCTGATGTATCCTATCTGAAACTGCAGGTGCAGGAGGATAATTTATTATTGTCTTGGTAAACATAGCTCACTTGCCCCAGTCAGAATGGACCAATATCCAAGTTCAGTGGTTTTCGACCTTCCCAATGCAGTGACTCCTTAATACAGTTTCTCATGTGGTGGTGACCCTCAACCATAATATTATTTTCATTGCTACTTCATAACTATAATTTTGCTACTATTTATTTATCATGTCAGTATCAACCAGTCAATTGTATTACATTTTAAACAATTTTTTAACAAACAGACAAAACAGAGTTTGCAAGCTTGGTACTTGATTAAATGTCCTTTGACCAGTAGCTGGCCACTTGGAGTGCCTCTGGTGTTGCTGCAAGGAGGTCCTCCATTGTGCATGTGGTGAGGCTCAGGTTGCATTGCAGCAGGTGGTCTGTAGTTTGCTCTTCTCCACACTCGCATGTTGTGGATTCCACTTTGTAGTCCCATTTCTTGAGTTGGTTCTGCATCTCGTGGTGCCAGAGCTCAGTCTGTTCAGCGCCTTCCAAGTCGCCCAGTCTTCTGTGTGCCCAGGGGGGAGTCTCTCATTTGGTATCAGCCATAGATTGAGGTTCTGGGTTTGAGCCTGCCACTTTTGGGCTCTCGCTTACTGAGGTGTACATGTGATACGCCCAAATTTGAATACTGGTGGGGTTGGGAGGGGGATTGACTTTGTCATTTGGAGCTGTAGTTGCTGGGATTTATAGTTCACCTACAATCAGAGAGCATTCTGAATTCCACCAATGATGGAATTGAACCAAACTTGGCACACAGAACTCCCATGACCTACAGAAAACACTGGCAGGGTCTGGTGGGTATTGACCTTGAGTTTGGGAGTTGTAGTTCACCTCCAGAGAGCACTGTGGACTCACAATGATGGATCTGGACCAAACTTGGCACTGATACGCAATATGCCCAAATGTGAACACTGGTGAAGTTTGTGGAAAATAGATCTTGATGTTTGCAAATTGTAGTTGGTGGGATTTATAGTTTACCTACAATCAAACAGCATTCTGAACCTCACCAATGAGAGAATTGGGCGACTTCCCACACAGAATCCCCATGACCAACAGAAAATACTGTGTTTTCTGATGGTCTTTGGTGACCCCTCTGACACCCCCTCGTGACCTAGTTTATCCTCAAGAAGCCAGAAATTTTCTTGAATTTGGTTTACAGTAAAGCCAGATGTGTCATTATGCCTGATGTGTTGAGAGGTTCAGCTATAAATCAAAAAGTGAAGGAAGAACTATTGTCACAACTAACGTAGATACCCAGTTACCTAAACCATAAACAATAAATTAATAACTTACAACATATACCGCTAAAATTCCCTAACCTCCGGCTACTGAGGTTATTCGTAAAAACAGATTATCCAAGATCCTACAGAAACTCCATATTACCAGCTTGTTTGCTTTGTTTTAAAATGTATCGCACATATTGTTCCAATGACCTGTTTTCTGCAATAAAGTAATGGATTTAATGTTTTAAAGTAAGAATTGTTAAAAGTGAACAAGTGAAGCTTGTCTTTTCTGGAAAAAAAAAAGGGGGGGGGAATAGCAGTAACACATCCTATTTTTCTCTTGTTCCCTCTCTGATTCCCTTGGCCTAGAAACCATTTCAGTGGATTATGAAATTCTGTGAATTAGCTTTGTAGGTTTGACGTTTTCTTGAGGGTATATATGCAATATATCTGGCATCTAATTCATTAAGTAAAATAATGAGTGTGAAGAGAGAATATGCAGAACAGCTTCAGTTATAAGTCCACAATCTTTTCCAGTTGAAGTGTTGTTGCTGAATACTTAAAAAAGCAATATTCACAACTGCTTAATAGATTAAATGACAGAGTAGTTGGAAATAAAAACTGATTAATGAGCTGTTGGAAATTAGATTATTTGTACAAATAAATTCCAAGCTAGTGAAGGTCACTGTGTGCAATTTAGAACTTGATTCTTTTTGAGGGTCTTATTATTTAACACAGTGTTTCCATTGTGATGCTGGAGTTGGTGTTGATTAATATGTATTTTGCGACATTTCAGGCAATTATGTCAAGGATGTGAGCTTAATTAGTTTTAATTTATAACTTAATGAAGCTGTTTCAAGCCACTACGTAAGAAGTGCTAGAGTTCTTTTGTCAACTGCAGAATATAATTTAGGCAGAACAGAGGAATCTTTATTGGGTTGCACCTGCAAACTAGAATATTGGAATTGCTCTGGCTCTGAATATAGTCTTCAGTGTCTGATTCAATTATTTGTTCTTTAGACAACACAGAAAGCCACTGTTTTTCAACTTGAGCTACTGACACCTTTATATTTGCACCACTTTTTAGCCAAATGTAGAAATAATACTCCTCTTCCTGACAGTGTTGTTGTAATACTTATTGATGCAATATATGTGGTGTAGAGAGCTAGCCTGGTGCAATGCTTGGAGTATTGGATTAAAACTTGGAGAGACAAGGATTTGAATCCCTTCTCAGCCATGGCAACCCTGGGTGACCACTCTTTCTCAGCCATATTTCACTGGCTAGCATTGTGCAACAAACATTTGTATGTTGTAGCATCATGAGGGCTGTTATGTGAATATGGACATGGTGAAACTATTCTGTTCTATTTCTTTTACATGTTAATTCATGCCCTTGGCATCACAGTTGTTGGGATTTGTTTTTTGATTTTGTAGTAAAGGGAAGAAATCAAATAGCAAATCTGTGATATTTTGAAAAAAAATCAATGTCAAGGTTTATATATTTATTAGATTTATAAATCTATGTCGAAACATTAATGAGTTGATTTTAGAAACGTCGTCTAAAAATTATATTTTGCAAAATTTACATCACCCAGTTGAACAAGGCTTTTGCTGGAAAAATATCAAAACAGAACTGCAGTGAGAAAAACAGCATGTTCATGTCTTGTATGTTTTTCAAACAAACTGTGTAGACATTACTAATTATATCCTGAATTTTTGTTTGACACAAATGCAAACCATTCTTCAACTTTTTTTTGCAGTATGTATGACTAACTGCCCTACACTGATTGTCATGGTTGGCCTCCCAGCAAGAGGAAAGACTTACATCTCAAAGAAATTGACTCGGTACTTGAACTGGATTGGCGTGCCTACAAAAGGTGAAAAGTTTTTATCTCTCAGCACAAACAGATCTTGGGGGTGGGGGGGGGGGAATGCTGCTGAAAAATCATTAACAGCAGCAACATAATACAATTCCAGAAATGTGCATAGTGTTTTACAAAGAACAGAAGGTGGTTCTCTGCCTCAGCATTCTGGGTTAAGCAAAACAACAAAGAAAGGGTAAAAACATGATTATAGGGAAGGAAGTTGCTTCAGTTCCTTGTGTTTGGGCTTTGCCTGAGGCTTACTTGCAATAGGGTGTTAGAACTAGGAACCTGAAACACAGAATCCTTAGTTGAACTTGGCTTTGAAGGAAGTAAAGGAGATGGAATTATTCAGGCGCTTAAGTGATAGTACTTCCAGGGGTGATTCTATAATAAACTGGTTTAGATTTCAATCCCTGATAGATCATGATGTAAATGACCTGTACCAAACTTTTGGCTTGCATTCACACTCCACAATGGCAGGTTTTGGAAGTGATTGCTGCACTTCTTGCTGCACTTCCTTCTTTGAAGGCTTTTAACCAGAGGCTTGTAAACAGAGGCTGGATGGCCATCTGTCGAGGGTGCGTTGAATGCAATTTTCCTGCTTCTTGGCAGGGGGTTGGACTGGATGGCCCATGAGGTCTCTTCCAGCTCTATGATTCTATGACTTGTTAAATTAACTGTTGCTTGTTTTGACCAAAGCAGTAGAACTGTAATCAATAATAACAATCCTATTTCAAATTGGATTTGCAGTGTTGTAATTCTCATTACAAATTTGCATGGTGTAGTGGCTTGAGTGTTGATCTATGACTCTGGAAGCTGAGCTTTGAATATCCGCCGTGGAAACTTACTAGGTGGCCTTGAGCAAGTCATATTGTCTCAGTCTTAGAGGAAGGCAGAGGATTCTGAATAAATCTCTCCCATCCCTACTCCCTTCAAAACAAGACTAGAGTTACCTTGGAGTCACCATAAGTCAGAAATGACTTAAAGGCCATACAACAGCAATATTTTTTTATCTCAAATATAAGCAATAATAAAAAAATGTCAAAAATCAAGTTTGTTTCATGGATTTTTGAACAAATACTTTTAAGCCATGGATGGTTGAATTCACAGATACATAACCTTTATGCTGCTTTTCATTTTTTAAACTCGGAAATTGCTTACAATAAAAACAAATGCAATAAAACAAGTTTGGAGAGAGATAATTAAACAATGACATCAATTAATATTGGTTTACTTAAAAACCAGGGCAAAATTACAATTTCTGGGCAAATAAGGAGAACATAAGCTAATGGCAGAAACATCTCAATATTGGGAGACTTGATTGTTCTGGGGAATGTCCATTCCACATGTTGCAGAGTCATTCCTCTGTATCACAACCATAAGCTTTTGGAAGCCATGGCACTGTGAACCAGATCCTTGACTCCAGAACACCAAGACCAGGGCTATGCATTTAATTGGCCATTTGTTAGCATATGAATGAAATGCAGGAGAAAATGCTTGATGTCAAGTGATTCAGCATAGATTGATGTTCTTTCTTGATGTTTCCACACAGAATTCAACGTTGGTCAGTATCGTCGGGATTTGGTAAAAACGTACAAGTCCTTTGAGTTCTTCCTGCCAGACAACGAAGAAGGCCTAAAAATCCGAAAGTAAGTTTGTAACATGCCTTGTTCTTTTCCCATTGTGTTGTTTTGATTTACACATCTCCATGTTCTCTGCATTGGATGCAGCAGTAACCAGCTCGTTATCATTTTGATCAGAGAAAAAGGAAAGTCAGATGTCCAATTCACACGAAACTGCACGGCTGGCCTTAAGAATTGCCTTCCTGTGCCTCCTGAGACAGGAGAAATAAAACTGATTAGTACCTTAGGGTAGCTGCATTGGGTGTGGGCTGTACAGCAAGATACTTAGTTTGTTCTGTGTTTGTAAAGTATGACTTGGTGAGTGAAATTAATTTCTGACCATTGTCTTGTATTATATTGGTAGCCTTATATTGGGAGAAAGGTGGGATAAAAATAAAGCAAATAAGTGGCTGAGATGAGGGTTTACTTTGGGCCCTTGGTATTCACTGGGACTTGCAGATCTCTGCCGTAGACAAATCTACATAGGGACCACCAAATGCAGCAGTGCCCAAACACGAACCAAGGAACATGAAAGGAACTGTAGACTGCTTCAACCAGAGAAGTCAGCCATAGCAGAGCACCTGATGAACCAACATGGATACAGCATATTATTTGAGAACACAGAAATGCTGGACCATTCTAACAACTATCATGTCAGACTACACAGAGAAGCCATTGAAATCCACAAGCATGTGGACAATTTCAACAGAAAGGAGGAAACCATGAAAATGAATGAAAACTGGTCGCCAGTATTGAAAAAACTTAAATCAGGACAGTAAATAAAGAGGAACACTCAAAAAACAGGGGAATGCCAGACAATAATAAATCACGGCCAGCTAACACCTCCCAAAAAAGGATCCCCCAGGCAGCAATCAGCCAGGCTTTGAAGCTACAAAGCCATTAAATGCTAATAAAGGTGGCCAGTTGTATCAGTCACACTTGCCTCAAGCAGACAAGAGTGCCTTCTCCCACCCTGGACATTCCACAGATATATAAACCTGACTTGCCTAGTTTTCATCAAACCTCACAACCTCTGAGAATGGCTGCCCTGTGCGTGAAACATCAGGAGAAAATGCTTCTGGAACATGGCGATATAGCCTGAAAAACTCACAGCAACCCATTGTATTATCACTTAAGCTTGATGTGTCACGCTTCTTTGTTTAAAGGTTCATTGCTGTCACAAGTCTAATTGTTATATTGTCTCTTCTCCTTTAAGACAGTGTGCCTTAGCAGCACTGAATGATGTTCGGCGATATCTTGGTGAAGAAAATGGGCATGTGGCAGTAAGTGTACTTTGTTTAAGAAAAAATGTCCTAAGCTTAAGGAAAATGAATTGCCTGCAAACTGCCAGATTTATAACCAACTCACTACAAAGCATTGGGTCTTGTTGCAATCTGAAATGTCTTTCTTGGTTCATAGGAGCCGAGAGAGAAATATTTCCATCTTCTCTCTACATCAGTGTTGGGATGCCTTGGGGGAGTGGGGTGGTGGTGGTCGCGAGGGAGTGTAGCAGGGGTTGCCAAAGACCATCAGAAAACACAGTATTTTCTGTTGGCCATGGTGATTCTTTGTGGGAAGTTTGACCCAAATCTTTCACTTGTGGGGTTCAGAATGCTCTTTGATGGTAGGTGAGCTATGAATCCCAGCAACTTGTTGTTGTTCATTCGTTCAGTCGTCTCCGACTCATCGTGACCTCACGGACCAGCCCACGCCAGAGCTCCCTGTCGGCCGTCACCACCCCCAGCTCCTTCAAGGTCAGTCCAGTCACTTCAAGGATGCCATCCATCAATCTTGCCCTTGGTCGGCCCCTCTTCCTTTTACCTTCTACTTTCCCCAGCATAATTGTCTTCTCTAGGCATGATGTGGCCAAAGTACTTCAACTTTGTCTCTAGTATCCTTCCTTCCAGTGAGCAGTCGGGCTTTATTTCCTGGAGGATGGACTGGTTGCATCTTCTCAAGATTCTATTTTCCCCGAACTCCACCAGTGTTCACATTTGGGCATATTGATTATCATGCCAAGTTTGGTCCAGATCCATCATTGTTTGAGTCCACAGTGCTCTCTGGATGTAGGTGAACTACAACTCCCAAATTCAAGGTCAATGCCCACCAAACCCTTCCAGTATTTTCTGTTGGTCATGGGAGTTCTGTGTGCCAAGTTCAATTCCATTGTTAGAGTTCAGAATGCTTTTTGATTGCAGGTGAACTATAAATCCCAGCAACTACAACTCCCAAATGACAAAATTGACCCTCCCTACCCCACCAGTATTCAGATTTAAGTGTATCTGATATTTGTGCCAAATTTGGTCTAGTGAATGAAAATACATCTTGTGTATCAGATATTTACATTACAATTCATAACAGTAGCAAAATTAGTTACGAAGTAGCAATGAAAATAATGTTATGGTTGGGGGGTCACCAAACATTAGGAACTGTATTAAGGGGCTGCGGCATTAGGAAGGTTGAGAAACGCTGTTCTACATGGAAACAGATTCCTTTTGCTTTCACCTTGCATAGAGCTCTGGATGTAGGTTAGGATGATTGATTTAGTTAGGCCACGGACACCATTCTCATATATTATGCTACTTATGCATTTGGAAGTATTCCTTGTTTGAAATACTTGTTTATTCATATGTCAGTATTGTACATTTTTCACCAGAATGTTTTAATTGATTTCTTGATCACCTTCTTCCTTTAAAGTGAAGAAAACATAACTCTCTGCAGTTTTTCTCTATATAATGTGAATAAAGAGATAGAAATTATAAGAAAGGAATTGTCCTTGAGCTTTGTTTATGTAGCTTTTTCCAATTCAGTAATTTATTTTATGGTTTGCTACTTGCTGTTTTCAGTATTTTAAATTTTTAATTCAGACCCTCTGTTTTCCGTCCTTTCAAATGATTGAGGGCTAGATTTTGGAGAGAGAGAGAGCATTTAGAAAATGTGCTGTTCTTCTTCTCATTCCAAAAGGGCAGAAATGGGTCTGGAATGTGTGGAGGGCCCTGCCTTGCCAAGAAATCAGAAAATCTTCCCACACTTTATATATAACATTGCTTGTTGTTCAGAAATGACTAATTCAAATCCACCTACACGATAGCACTTTGTGAAGCTTGAACCATTTCTTCACACACTATGAACCAAGCCTGGATTTCTGTGGGATTTACTCTCTAGTCTTGTATCTGTGATCCCTCAACTGGCTCCTCTAGGATAAGAGTGCTAGTTAGTAAGTTTGTAGGACTCTGACATCAATGCTCCTGTATTAGAACTGTTAAGATTCAACCCTATATTCCTTTCCCTTTGATGTTCCAAAAGATTGTTCTTGATCATTTTTCTCTACTTTTTGTACCTTTAAAAAAACTGAAATATAAAGAAGGTTCATATTATGATGATCTTCAGTTTTTTAAAATTCAGTTTGAGCTTTGATGTTTTAATATCACAGTCTTTCTGGGTCTAATGAGCTAACACTTTTGGCTATGTTTTTGTTCTTCTGTCTATATGTCTTGTGGTGAAGTTTTGCTTATGTTATGGAAGTTCATTAGAACTAAATATCTTACTTTTAAATTGTGAAGAGATCATGAACTAGTTTTGATTTGAAACAAAATTACTACAGTGTAGAAAATATTTTATGTACTCTTTCTTGTTTGGCGTTGAGCATTCATCTTTTGCAGTGGTACAATGATTCCTGTGATCTATCTTTGTGGTATGATACTACTTCTAAACAGAGTAATTGATCATATCGAGGGCCAACATGAAGGGTCCCTTGGTGGCACAGTGGGTTTAACTGCTGAGCTGCTGCACTTGCTGACCAAAAGGTTGGTGGTTCGAATCCGGGGAGCGCGATGAGCTCCCACTGTTAGCCCCAGCTTCTGCCAACCTAGCAGTTTGAAAACATGCAAATGTGAGTAGATCAATAGGTACCGCTTCTGCAGGAAAGTAATGGCGCTCCACATGATCTTGGAGGAGTCTATGGACAACGCCATCTCTTTGGCTTAGAAATGGAGATGAGCACCACCCCCCAGAATCAGACACAACTAGATTTAATCTCAGGGGATACCTTTACCTTTACTTTACTAAGGCCAGTATGTTCAAAGGGGTTTTGCCTTCCCCTGAAGTTCAGAGAATATGAATTGCCCATTGATTTTCCATAGTCAAATAGGGATTTGAACCCTGATCTCCGTAATCATAGTTCAGGTCTCAAACTTTCACATTATTTGGTTAGATGTGCATGGAAAATTTCTGTCCAAAATATGCATTGCAAAGCTATTTCATTTGATTGCTGGTGCATGTTTTTCAATGTTTAGCTACATTTCCCTTATTTCTTCCTTATTTTCCTTTTGTAGGTTTTTGATGCCACAAACACTACAAGAGAACGTAGGGAAACCATCTATAAGTTTGGTGAGGAAAATGGATATAAGGTTAGTTAACAAATGTTTTTGTTGACTGTAAATTCATGTCATATGTGACTTCACGTGATGTTTACCAATAGCTTTTTCTCCATTGAATTGTACTAATATGTACTCATGCTGCTAATGAGCAGCTCCATTATACTGGTAGTAACCATTAGCAATAACTCATGCTGTCATCAGGTCTATCGGAAGAGTCTTTGGTGGCAATAAGTACTCTCTATTTGAAATCTCTAATAGCATCTTTTAACAAATCACCTTTTCATACAGCATGTCATAGATGCCTTATTAAATTTAATCACGTTGTTCACACAGCTGCTCTGTAAATCAAAGCTGGAGAGGGAGGTAAATGTTGAAAGGAGGGGAACATTTTCTTGTCTCCAACTTAATGATTACTGTATCCTAGGGTTTTCTTGGAAATCTTTATTGTGAGGAGGCTTGCCTTGGCCTTCCTCTAAGGCTTAGAGAGTGTGGCTTGCCCAGTGGGTTTTCATGACTGAGTGGGGATTTGCATCCTAAAATATTCCACAGTACTAATCCAGCACTCAAACCAATATATTACACTTCCTCCTAGTTTCTTCATACATCCTTAAAAAGATACTTAACTTAAAAACACACTTCTGGTGAACTGTTTTGTAGTGCAGCAATTGTCAATACCTTATTTACAAAAAGTTGTAGTCAGTTGATGTCTCCTCTTTCTCCCAGAGTCTCTGTGTGTGTTATAGTTTCATCACAGCAGATTTTGTTGCAAAGAACAACTTTTCAACTTTTTGCTGTCGTTGTGGATATCAGTTGTGTGTTTTGATTAGGAGCACAGCTTGGAAAAGTTATTCTTTTAGATCCAAGAACCCCCAGGCAACATGACTGCTGGCCAGAAATAACCAGGGAAAACTGGAAATTGTAATCCAAAGGAATACTATTTCCTAAGATCTGATCAGGAATGTGGTCACCGTAGAAGGAGCTTTCTTTACGACTTTGAAGGCTCCAAGTCAATATGCCCTCTGGCTCCCCAAAATGAGCTGCTGCCTTCATTTGCAACTGAGTCATTAAAAAACTGCTCCAAAAAGCGTCCCAGAGTAACTGGGAACTACAATAAGTTTTATGTCTGAAAGAATGATGGTGTGGTGGTATTTAAGACCTTATAGGAGGACTATTTAAAAGCAAAATAAATCTGGCAAAAATAAGTATGAAAATGAAGGTATTTATTTTGTGTTATTGATCAGTTTTTTTTCTCCTGTCTTCCATAAATGTCAATTTCTATTTGGATGCAAGACGTTTTTTGTGGAATCTGTATGTGTTGATCCAGAGGTCATTGCTGCAAATATTGTGGTGAGTAATAAATATATTTTTAATTCATAAGAACGGAAAGTTTTATATTTTCTGTATGCATGCCAAAGCCACTCATGTAATACTGTTGTTTCCCTTGACTGCCCTCCTGCCCTCCCTCCCTTGCAATCTTGCCTACCTTCGTATTCTATTTCAGCATTGTGGATTTTATGTCACTTGCTTTTAATCCCATTAGCTGCAGATATTTACATAAGGAAGTACATTCCCCTATTGCAATTATGTGTTTTTGTTTTTTTTACTTGGGATGTTAAAAACTCCTCAAAATGTTGAACCAATATAAGTGGCAGAGAACTACTTCTGTATTGTATGTACTGCTAAACTTGGGCTTCTGTTCCCCTCCACATGGAGTAGGAGGAGGAGAGAAAAACTTGATTCATCTAAATCTTCCTGGTATTCATATACATTTTGAAGCAAAGCACTATGAAATGATAGAAGAAATTATACTTAGTATCTGGTGCATAATTGATCATACAAACTGTTTTAATTTTGTAGCCACCCAAATTAAAACAGATTAGAAAGAAATTGAGTAATTGATTGTTTTCGTTTTTTGAAAAATACTTACTATTCAATGAACTCTTAATTTTTTTAAATAAACTGCCTAAAGGCAACCAACTGTAGGCTGTATTTCAGAAAGAGAAAATAGCAAAGCATCACATGATATTCTGTGCATAAGAAAGCCCCATGAAATGTATAACAAGTTGATAGGCGTTCATACTTGACTTTATATAACTTTTGCAAACTAAAATCTTGATTTCATAATTCTGTTGGAAAGTCCTTTTATAAAAACAACAACAACAAACATTAAAAGGAGACCTGGGGTATTTGCATTCATAGTACATGCAACTCAGTGATCACAGATATAAGAAACTGCTCTTTACCAAGTCAGAACATATACTGGGAGTGAGTTTTCAAACTGGAACCACACATATCTTTTTCTGAAGATGTTAGAGATTATGTATATCAACTATCTATAATCAGAAGACACCACAAGGGCCATTCTGTCAAACCCCCTGCCATGCAGGGAATGCACAATCAAATCACTCCCAACAGATGGTCATCCAGCCTCTGTTTAAATGCCTCCAAAGAAGGAGCTTCCACCACTCTCCAAGGCAAAGAGTTCCATGGTGAATAGGTCTTATGGTCAGGAAGTTCTTCCTAATGTTCAAGTGGAACCTCTACTCTGCCAATTATCTGTAGTTGTTTCTCCCCATTTTCCTGGGAAAAACAGACTAGTGTTACAGTTTCAGAAAACATTCTTGGTGATTTTTTGGGGTCGCCCAGGGACATGAATGAAAGGAAGTAAAACGTGACAAGAATATTGGCTTGAGCCCAGAACATCCCGTCAAAGGACGAGAGCACTATGGCCAGTGAAACAAAAGGAAGGATTTTCTGGGGATAACAGTTCAAGAGCCATATTATCCTCCCAGCTTAGATTGAAGTTTCAAATTGTTTAAACATTTTGAAGTTAGAGTCTCTGCATGTTTATATGAAGAAGTTCTGGTTCAGTTGAAAGCATGAATCTTTCTTAAATTTGACATTAATGATTAGACTTTTTGCTCATGTGTTGCATCTCTTAAGATTTCTGAGAAATATTTCTGTGTTTTCCTTTTCACCCTCAATTAGCAAGTGAAGCTGGGCAGTCCTGATTATGTTGACTGTGGGAGTGATGAAGCTACAGAAGACTTCATGAAAAGGATTGAATGTTACAAGAATTCATATGAGACACTAGATGAAAATTTGGATAAGTATGTGATCAGTAAAATATTAATATTAACATTATGCATGTCATTTAGCTTCAGAATCTTAAACAGCCTCTGAAATGGCTTGTCACAGGGGTGCTGAGCTTGTGCCTACTTAGGATTTCAAACTGTTTATGGGGGTTTGCTTAACTGAATTCTCTTCCATATGCAATGATCCTGTGAATGTGGAAAGATAGATATCTCTCACCCCCCCCCCCTTCCCCTGTTGTAGAATTACACACAGAAGCCTTCGTGTGTTCTTGGACTGGGCAGTTTTCCACCTCAGTAGCAACCTGACATGGACTCCCTGGTGGCACAACGGGTTAAACTGCTGAGCTGCTGGACTTGCTGACTGAAGGTTGGCGGTTCAAATCTGGGGAGTGTGGTGAGCTCCCACTGTTAGCCCCAGCTTCTGCCAAGCTAGCAGTTCGAAAACATGCAAATGTGAGTAGATCAATAGGTATTGCTTCTGCTGGAAGGTAACAGTGATCCATGCAGTCATGCTGGTCACATGACCTTGGAAGCATCTATGGACAATGCTGGCTCTTCAGATTAGAAATTGGGATGAGCACCACCCCCCAGAGACAGACATGACTAGACTTAATGTCAAGGGGAAATCTTTACATTTACCTACCAGCATTATTAGAAAATAAGGAATGTTGGCTTTGATGAGTTCTTCATTATTTTGTTTTTACAAACCTTTACCTTTCCTAGCAACCTAACTCTTGCTTTTCCTTTGTGACACCAAACATGCAAATGGGTAAAAAGATGTTTACTAAATTGCTCTTCCATATGTCTCTTGATGAGCTGTTTTGTAAAATTTTAGTCAGAAAATAAGTAGGTAAGAACACAATAATATTCCAGTTTTCTTCTACTTTGCAACATTTTCCTCATTCAAGTTTCTGTAGGCAGTTCTTCTGGTATGGAAAAGTAACTGAAAAGAAGTATCAAAACTGAAAGTAATGTTGTAGCAAATGGGGCCATAAAGAATGATTCAGCAAAAGGGAGAAAACAGCCCAGTGTGTCTGTTTTCAGAGATGATGTCTTGTCACAACGAACATGCAATATATCTATCTCCTATTAGCTGGTTTAGGCACATAGTTTTGTACATCCTAAGAAGTTTGCAAATGTATAGAAATAACTAAAAGATGAAATTCATCTCACAGAGAACTGACTAGTTTGATAGGTAGAACTGCAGATACTCTTCTGAGAAGGAAATAGGAATATGAAATTGGCTGTAGTGGTATGGGATGAAGGCAGCACCTTTGCCCAACTGTAGAAACTTAGCAAGGATCTCCCAAAATTGCAACACTTGTTCTTGTTGACAATTATATTGTTACTACTAAAGCATCATATTTTGCTCCTCTTAAAACAAACTCTCTGTTGTGTGTTTAGGAAAACTCATTCCTGATCTCTGTAGGTATATGTGAAGTGCTAGAATAAACACTGTCACTCTTATAAACAGTTTTGTCTCTTACCATAACAGGGATCTTTCTTACATTAAAATAATGGATGTTGGAAGGAGTTACCTTGTGAACCGAGTAATCGATCATATCCAGAGCCGTATTGTTTACTACCTCATGAATATCCACGTCACTCCTCGCTCCATCTACCTCTGCCGACATGGTGAAAGTGAACTAAATCTAAAGGGAAGAATAGGAGGAGATACAGGGTTGTCTCCTAGAGGAAAAGAGGTATGGCTTATTTGTCTAATATCCTTTTATTCACTCTCTCTCTCTTATATTTAACCACTGTACAACTAGATTTAATTCAGAAAGTAAATTCCAAAACTTGTTTGCTTTTGCATATTTCCCAAGACTGAAGATCAAGGCAGGGGTATGTGACCAGACAAACCTTAAATAATGGAGTTTTGTTATGCTCTTTGCACAGGGTACAAACTTGTATTGGTCAGGGAATCCCCAAGAATTGCTCAAAATGTGATACATCAGGGATGCACAGTGAGAATTTCACCTAGTTTGAGGGCCTTTAGTCCATGAGTAGATTTGTTCTGTTGGATCTGAGCCCAAGGATAGCCTCCCTTTATTAAAGTCATATTCCTTTTGTGACTCATTTTGGTTACACAGACCCTTTTGGAAAGGCATTATCATCTCATACTTTAGAGCAGGCATGGGCAAACTTTTGCCCTCCAGGTGTTTTGGAATTAAACTCCCACAAGTCCTAACAGCCTACCGACTGTTAAGAATTATAGGATTTGAAGTCCAACCACCTGGAGGGCCAGAGTTTGTCCATACCTGCTTTAGAGGACTAGGGTGTAGTTATCTGACTTGAAATATTTAGCTGTAGTTTCCTCGTGTAACTCTTTTTCCTTCTCCATATGCTTTGCAGTTTGCCAAGGGCCTGGCATATTTCATTAATGAGCAAAACATCAAAGATTTGAAAGTATGGACAAGCCAGATGAAAAGGACCATTCAGACTGCAGAGGCCTTGGGAGTGCCTTATGAGCAGTGGAAAGTTTTGAATGAAATCGATGCGGTAAGATACTCTTGGTTAAATACATACAAAGTGTAGTTTTTTAATCATGGAAAGAGAAATTATTTTCATGGCACAATACTAGAAGTCCTAAGAGCTTTGTACCTTTTGGAGATTAAGCCTTGAAGGGCTGAAAAACATTTTGAGTTGTACAGCACCTTGCTAAGAAGATGTGTAAATAAATAGCATTATATGCCAGCATTGGGCTCCCTGGTGATGCAACGGGTTAAACCACTGAGCTACTTAACTTGCTGACCGAAAGTTTGGCAGTTCAAACCTGGGGAGCGGGGTGAGTTCCCACTTTTAACCCCATCTTCTGCCAACCTAGCAGTTCGAAAACATGCAAATGTGAGAAGATCAATAGGTACCACTTCTGCAGGAAGGTAATGGCATGTCATGCCGTCATTCTGGCTACGTGGCATTGGAGGTGTCTATGGACAACACCAGCTCTTTGGCTTAGAACCACCTTCCAGAGTTGGACCATGTCTAGACATAAATGTCAAGGGGAAGCCTTTACCTTTACCTACACGAAGGCTTCTCAAGTTGCTCACACACACACACAAATAGAAAATAAGGAATGTTGGCTTTGATGAGTTCTTCATTATTTTGTTTTAATCAGTTGCATCTGACATGTCTCATTTCAGATGTGCAGCTTATTTCGAAATGTTTTTTCAAAGCAGAAATATTTGGTAGATCACCTTCTCAAAAGTTTAAAATAGAAGTAGTAATAAATAAAGGCAAAACTATGTTTTTTAAAATGTTTATGAGAAGGATATTGTGTGTAGCTAGCTGGGCTGATCTGACAATGCTAGTAGTTGAAGCAGTCTTCTTTGGGAAACAATATTTTCTCGACTGCATGTCAGTGAATCACATGGCAGTCCAAGCAGATGAGTCCGAGTTCCATTGTAATATCATTCAAGAAATTTGGTGAGTCAGTGTGTCCAGGATGGGAAAAGCTTTGGCAGGTGATGTTCGGATCTAGTAAACTTACAGTATTAGATTATTATATTGATAATGATGGGCATTTGGATAGTACATTTTAGGGCTGTGGGAAATGGCATAGAATCATGACAGAGATGAGATCTCGGGGACTAGCAGTGTACTTCCTGGTCTTCTGTCTGTTAAGGTACACTGATGTTTTCATGTTTCCTCTGCTTCTCTAGGGAGTCTGTGAAGAAATGACATATGAAGAAATTCAGGAAAATTACCCATTAGAATTTGCATTGAGAGACCAGGACAAATACAGATACAGATATCCAAAAGGAGAGGTATTATACATTTTTTGTCTCCAATAATTTTTCTTCTCATAAGGTAAGCGTTTACAAACTCTTGTTAGGTGAGGCTATCAGGACATAAAAGTAAAAAAAAAGTTCCTGTGAGTTAAAAGGGCATAAAATACTATTCCTCACAAATTATTTCAAACGCCTCTCAGATTCTCATTTGTAGAGTGATATTTCATAGTAGTGGTAATCCCATTTCATTATCTACTCTAACATTTAGATTCTAAATGGAACTAAAAGGCTGATTTTAGCAGATTTTGAAGGAGAGGGAAAAGCCTCCGCCACACATTTGAACATGTGGCGAGGGAGAGGAGCTGTGAATGCATGTCCTGACCCCCTGGCCTTATTACCACTGCTTCCAGTGTGGATCTTCATTCATTGAGTAGCATGTTTGAAGGGCAAATCTGTGCATGTCGATGGGACCCACGTAGTCTCTCCTTCATGTTTTTCAGCTGATTTTTGAAGGAAAAAAGCCATGAGAATGAGGGTGTGCTACATCCTTGGCCTTTTACATAGTGATATTAGAAGTGAAGCATTAATGAAAAGCATTGATTTCAAACAGCTGCTTTCGTATTTGTGAAATGTGCAAACTGTGGTATTGTTGGGTAATTCATTCCTGCTATCATGAGTTAGATGTGTGATCATAATGCCTAGAACAATACTGAGATACAGATGGCTTTTGTTTGTTGTACAATCAGAAGCCATGTCGTAACAGCTGTTTAGTAAGATGGAAAGTTTTCTGGAGTTGTTTGCTAACCTTTCAGAGAGAGAGAATGGGTGTGTGTTTGCTTCTCTCTACATAGGTGCACTTCCTCTCTTAATGGCTTACACTGGGGTTGCGCCACTCATGCAGTGTTCACATGTTCCTGTTAGCAGGAGGAATTAGTACTGCTTCCCCAAATGTGATGGAGCTCAGAACTTAGATTAGATTAAATTGCTTCTAGGGAGATTAAATTGTACACAAGCATTCCACATTCGCTAAAAACATGGCCAACTTCTTTTTAATTCTTAAATGAGTCCACAAAGAGAAGTAGGTATGCAATTTGTCAGGTTACACTGGTCAACACACATTTTGGAATAAGCAGGTCAGATATACCCATTTCTGGGTATGTCTGATCTACTTATTCCAAAAATCTGACTAGTTTCCCCCTATCAGCTGTAGTTTTTGAGATACAGAATATATGTCATATATTCTGATATATGATAGCCATATCTAAGACATGATAGCCATATCTAAGAAACTAGAGCTGATCCAGTCTATCCAATTCAATTTTCTAAATCAGCTCTCCAAATAATTCCAGGAACAGGCTTAAAAATCAAGATTTTTTTTTTGTTGGTCTGCATAATTTATAACTCTTCAGAATGGGATTCTGAATAGTAGATGAGCACCAACATTGCACTATTATGAAAGGCTTTGAGAGAATCCACCTGTTACCTTCTATACTGGCACAAACTCTGAGTCCTTTTGTTCATAGGTCTGTGCACACAAGAATAGGTGACAAAACAATGTAGTAGGCACCAATAAATGGGAACTCTCTGCAGCAACCACATACTATAACTACGTGTATTGTTTTTTATAAATTCAGCAATCCATTAGTATGCAGAATAATCAAAGGTTTAAAAGCCATTATATATGGTTGGATCTCAGTCTGTACAGAAAGTTTCCTCTTGTACTATTGAGGTTCTGCCAAAAGTAACTCCTGAGGGCCAGGGTCTGATGGGGTACGGTAGAGCAGGATGGGCAGGACTGTTTTGTGCAAGCAGAAGGGCTTTCCTGGTGGTACATGGTATCTGTAGACCAAGCCACTGAAATAATTGTTTTTGGCTAGATAGGCCAGTGCCAGCTATGTGTAAGAGAGCCCCGAATTTCATAACATGACTTCCCTGGTGGAATATGGAGAGACCGACTGGAAAATGTTGTAAATATAAATGAAATGGAATGAAAAAGAGAGGAGGAGCAAACAAAAAAAAAAGGGTAGAGACAAGGGAGAATATGCATCCTGCTTTAAGGTTTCATAACAAAACTCTGGTGTCATTATTATTTCAGTTTTAGGATGCAAAGTAAAGCTGTTCCTAACATCTTTTTATTATTATTATTATTATTATTATTATTATTATTATTATTATTATTATTATATTTATGCATTTATATCCCACTTTTTCTCTCCATAAGACGACTCAAAGCGGCTAACATTAAAAGCATTACAATACAATTTAAAATATACAAATATTAAAACAGTATTAAACATCAGTAATATTAAAAACAATTAAGATTACATCCAGAATTTCTCATTTACACTCAATTTTCACTACATGTGCAGAAAATCTTATCACATTTGTTTCACCTGCAATATTGCAGTTCTCTGCTTATCCTGCTTATGGAATCACATACTGCTGTATAATTTTAAAATATAACCATATCTGAAGGAAGCATACATAAAATTTGATATTTATTGTTGAGGCAGTGCACTTCAACCCTATGAAAATCTTATTTGCCTATGCCAAATATGAGTAATAGTCAGCTTGAACTCAACTTTCACAGTAAAATAATAGGTTTACATTTCCTGGTTTCTTGATTACACTTGTTATTAATGTTCACAGTACAGGTAGTCCCCGAGTTACAAATATCTGACTTACAAATGACTCATAGTTAAGAACAGGGGAGAGACAACAGGAAATGAGAGAAATCTGTCCCTAGGAAGAGAAATCCACTCCTGGAAAAGTTATCATGGAGAAAAGGGGTCTCCATTGGAGCTTTTTCACCAATCCTTGTTTCCACAACAAGCCAATTTTTTCAAAGTCCATTTATCACATGGATAGAAAGTGAAGTGAACAAACAGTAAAACAAACACTGCAGGGGTGTTCACCCTTCCATATACTACCCAATGTGCATACATGCAAGCACACACATACACACACTCCATTCTTCCTGTTATGTCCATAATACATTTAAGACCATGCTGATGTACTTCCATTGGTGCTACTGAAGCTGCATGAAGCAACAGGATTATAGCCATTATTTTCTTCCCTCTATGATTATGTCTTGTCATGGCTGATTTGACAGTGTTCAAATGATGTATATATATTTCTAATTCCCCCTCCCTCTATTTCCAGTCCTATGAAGATCTTGTTCAAAGATTGGAGCCAGTAATTATGGAATTGGAAAGGCAGGAAAATGTGCTTGTAATCTGTCACCAAGCTGTTATGCGCTGTCTGCTTGCTTACTTTCTGGACAAGCCTGCAGGTAGGTGCCACAAATACAGTGCAGTCATATCATGGAGGTTTTCCACTGTTGTCTATCAGTAGCCATTTCCATGTGAATTTCTCCGCTTACTATCTTGTCTCACAAGAGCAGTATATTCTTAGAATATGTGGTCCCTTTGAATGTGTGCTTTTCATGGTCTATTCAAAAGTAGTTTCACATGGTTTATGGAAAGTTGTTTTGTAACTCAGGCAGACTTTGAAAGAGTAACATTTTTGAGTGATTCTTGTTGTGCTAACAAGAAGAACTTTCCAAGTTCTAAAATTCATGTAGGACAGTTGTGATTATCCATATGTTGTGGGTCTATAGTTCCCATCAACTCTATCTGGTAGAGTTACTAGTGATAAACTGGTGCAGAACATAAATGTTGGGAACGTTAAAGTTAACCGGATTTAAATGGAATGAGAACTGCTTTTGCAGATGAGATCAGATAAAAATTATTTCTAAGTATTTCTCTTCCTAGATACTTTGGCCTGGTGAACAAGCTTTTATTTATGCAGCCTTTTTTTGTATTTTTATATTGAGTTTAACATTTTAGCTGGTTCTCTGCTATTGAGGTATTGCTCTTACACTTTTAAATGCGTGATGTCGGTCTTCAGAAATACATAAAATAATTTAAAATTACCTAGCAAAAAGCATTCCTTTGTCTATTTTATGTGGTAATGCTTTGGGAAATGGTTGTTTCTGTTATTTACTATTAATTTAATTTTTATGTATATGTTTTCCATTTTAGAAAAACTGCCTTATCTCAAGTGCCCACTGCATACTGTCTTAAAATTAACCCCAGTGGCTTATGGTAAGTTTTTCCATTTTCTTTCAATAAGGGTATTTATATTGCATTTAGCTGCATTAATTATGAAAAACATTATGTGTGTTTACGATTGCATCCTATTCATGTATTATGAGCTGACACATGCCTAATTCAATTTTGCAATTGTCCTTATAGGTTGGAAGTATTTTCCAAAACACAATGACCAAAAGTTCCCCAACCTACTCTTTGCGCAGTTCAGCCCACCAGCATAGCTACTTCCCTGTCTCCCTTCTCCCTTTTTTGACCTATAGCCTGAAGAGGAGAAGGTTTTGTGTAACAAATGTTTGAATTTTGGATGTAGACAGATTCAGACAAAGAGCGTTCTTGTTTTGTCTATGCCAGAATATCCTGTATACTGAAAATTTGGAGTTTTTATTAAACAAAAATAGATTTTAAAACAAAACAAAATGCACCATTATTTAGTAAGTGTTGGATTCTTAGTCTGGAGACCAGAGTTTGAATTTCTGCTCAGCCATGGAAACTCATTGAGTGACCTTGGGTGCATCACATTCTTTCAGCCTCAGAGGGAGGCACAAATCTGGCCAAGAAAACCTGTCCACCTCAGGGTTAGATTAAGTGAAACATGAATTGAATGCATGCAACAACAAATTATTTATTTATTTTGTGTCAAAAGCAACATTGCACAGATAAAACAGATATAAAACTGATAAAATAGAGGTAGCACAAGCGGCTAAACCACCCCAGACCAAAAATGGGCAACAGTGACTGCATTGTCTGTAGCTTTAAGCAGTTTTTCCTCTGTGCATGAGGTAGGGCATTATGAGCAAGCATACAGATGCAGAGTTGTTTGTTCTTCTTCAGACACACAAGGTGGAGGATTCTTCTAGGCAGTGTCATTTTGCTAGGTTGTCTTTTCAGCTGCCCACTCCACTTCTGAGTCTGTTCAGGCTCATTACAAAAAATAAAAAGAGGATAAAGATAGGACTCTAGTGACATCTAGTGTCCAATATCCATTATTGATTATAGAGAGGTTTCTTTCTTCTTAAATGAGAGCATTACTGGTATCAGTTCAATGTTGCGGTTCAAGGTAATCAAACACTTAACAGAATTACGGAACAGGGTGACCCAGCTAACAGGGAAATATGCAGTCAGTCATGTGTTCAGGCAACCAAGGATTAAATGGTCTAGAAAGATAATCATGTAAAGCTTCAATTTTCTTGGATCAGACAAAGCTTTTCAACTTTGCACTAAGATTATTTTAGCTAAGCTACAAGAGACAGTCATTCAAATCTACCAGGTGTTGTCCCTTGGATTGAAAGAGATTGTATTAGAAGACACTTGCATTACAGCAGTACTTAAAGCAAGGCCACTAATTCCAAAGGTTGCCTATGAAGCAATATTGTGGGCACACCTTTTTGGCGTGGGAGTCATTGCAATACATACCCTTTCAATTATAAAGAAAGCTTAACTTTTGACAACATGTCAAAAGGTTAGAATTACCCTGAAAGGGGTTGTAGAGATCGAGCATCCCTGATCGGGATTTCTACAATCCTCCAAAATTGTCCAGATGGAGACACATTTGCTTTCTGGTGGATCTGATGAAACTGCTTCATACATAACATTATTAGAAAGATTGTATAAAATTATCTCCAGGCTGTGTATATAAGGTGTATATGAAACATAAATGAATTTCGTGTTTAGAGTTGGGTCCTATCTCCAAGATATCTTATTAGGACCACGTGCAAGTATAGGTATTGAAAATAAAAATACAAAACTCTTCTTGTCCCAAGCATTTTGGATAAGGAATACTCAACTTGTATTTTGGATAGGCTTTCATAGTATTTCTGGATGGTCATGGGAAGCATATACTTGCATTAACTGTCAGTGATATTACAGGGGAATAGTTCACACATAGAGCTTTGTTTCACCGGTGTGCATTAATTGGGGTCTGCCATTGTATCCCAGTTTGTGATGAGTAATTAACATTTTGAACAATAGTGATTGTACAAGGAGCTCTTTTGATTTTATTCTGATTGTCCTTGTTGACATAAAGTAGCAAAACATCTAAACGTTGATATTTGTCTACAGGTTGCAAGGTAGAATCCATATTCCTGAATGTTGAAGCTGTCAATACGCACAGAGACAAACCACAGGTAGGATAGATTTACTATTGCAAAGGTAAACTCGGAATTCTAAAAAGGAGGGAGCAGCACTCACCTTCCTCCCACTGCTTCCCTCATTTCTTTAGGGAAAATATGACAATAGATGAACACTCTAAATTACTATGTACAGGGTCTAGCTTGCCTCTTATTTGAGTGAGAATTCAGATATAACAAAGTCTTGTTTAGGCCCCGTCTAGTGGTTCAGGTCAACATAGAAAGAGCCTTGCCTCACCCCCTTTCCTCATTGTGTTGCCTGGAGATGTGAAGAGCTGCTATGACAGGATCCTCTTCATATTACCAAGAAACCTGATATTCTAGGGTTCTTGTCGATTTTGATGACCTTCACATACAGAATCTTCAGTTTTCTCACTTTCTTTGTCAGGCAAGTGACAAAGAGGGTGGACATACGGTCTTGCCTTCTGTTTGCTTCTATGTGTAAACATTCAAAAGAATTCATTCTACATTTTTTAATGAAAAGAATAAATTGTTTTACATTTTTCTTTATCTTTATTCACACAATCATATTTTCTGACATTTCCCTACAGGTATTTTAACCTTTCCTTTTTTTGCAGGGACATTGCATGGACTTTGCAGGCAATCTTCCTACACAATTGTTAACTTGATCTTCTCATTACTTTTCAATCCACTTCAGACATAAAATGCCAAATCCCCAAATGATATTGATGGGATTGTGAAATCAGGAGTTTGGATGGTTAATTTTTTTTGTTCTGTTGGACTTTGAATCTACTCCCTGCCTCTTTTTTGTAGCCAAAGCTCATACTTAATTTGTTGTCCAGGGCTTTCATGACCAGAAGCACTGGTGAGTTTTCTGGGCTGTGTGGCCATGTTCCAGAACTTTCTCCCACCTTGGATGTTTCACAGATATATAAGCCTTGTTTCCAACAAACCTCACAACCTCTGAGGATACCTGCCATAGATGTGGGTGAAATGTCAGAAGAGAATGCTTCTGGAATATGGCCACACAGCCCAGAAAACTCACAGCAACCCAGTCATAGTTGATTTTGGTGTCCGATAAACTTAGTGTGATCCACTGTTAACACTAGTTGTTAACTTTATAAGAAGGGGCCTATGTGGTCAGTCCATTTCAGCATTAAATGCCAACAGGGAAGAGGACAGTATGTCTGATTGGTGGGCTGGGCTCATTAACATGCTTGACTTTGCATGGAGAGCCTTGTTTTACATGCAGTCTAGCTGGTATGACTGATTCATTGTACCTGACTAGAGCTGTCATGGTTGCACCAGCTCTGTGGCCATGTTCTACCTATGCTCTTCCTGATGCACTTCTGTGAAACTGGTGTCCTGTATTGCTTGTCTGTGGTACAGTTTGGTGTCCTCTAGAAATATAAAAAAATCAAGTGTCGTATTACACTGGATTCAGTGGGATTTTTAAAAAAAGGCATAAATAACATAAATAATAATAGGAAAGTGGAACATTATGTCCAAACAACAGCAAAAATACTGTGTTCTGATCTTTTCTCACTTGTGCTATGACGCCACTTAATCCGTGGCTACTTAAAAGTGCATTTTTAGACAAAAACCAAACACTTGAATGCAATATATTCAAATATTATATTAATTAACAAGATACAGAATCAATTGTAAATTTAGAAGTGTTTTGGGAAACACTACTAAATGCATGATGATGCAGTGCCATTGATTTGACTGCCTGGGACAAACCTCACAATAGTCAGCTGGGGGCCTTGCTTATGATTAGCCTTTGAGAACCAGAGAAGGATATTTTGCAAAATGGAGTTACTTAATTTTATGATAGTGTGCCATCTGTCTGTCTTCAGTGTTTGTCTTTCTATTTTATTTTTGTCAGTTTATGACACTGATGATATAGTGTGCCTTGTGGATTTGGCAACTGGTTGGGTCTCTTTTGAGGAGGGGAACAGATTGTGAGAAGCAATACATTGCTTCCAGTGGTGTTATTTTTGAGCATTCTTGTAAACAAAAAGCTTTCCTTTCCCACAGTCATGACAATTTGCATGTGTCTCTTTGGGTGCTGTTCTATTTAACATTGATGAACAATTGATAATAAGCTGTTTTGTGAACACTCTGAAAGCTGTCACAGTTTGGGGAAGTGTTGTTTTTGTGCCGTCTCCAAAATGTTTAGCTAACTAAACAGTATGATAAGTTGCTTTGTTGAATCTGACTGCTGTGTTTCTATAACAACCATAACAGCGTTGTGATATCCTTTGCCTTGATGAAAGCGAGACATCATCTACCATTTGGTTGGCATGTAGCTATTAATTACTTTCTTAAACATTGTGAATATGATAAAAAAATAAGGAGCCTTTATAAATCAGTTGCAGTTTGGGAACATTCTTCTATAAGATATACAAGCATGCAAGTCCATGTGTAAGCTTGAGATGATTGACAGCATTTAGTGTGATCTTGGCCCGGTGGTGCAGCAGGTTAAACCGCTGAGCTGCTGAACTTGCTGACCGAAAGGTTGGCGGTTCGAATCCGGGGAGCAGGGTCAGCTCCCGCTATTAGGCTCAGCTTCTGCCAACCTAGCAGTTTGAAAACATGTAAATGTGAGTAGATCAATAGGTACTGCCTTGGTGGGAAGGTAATGGTGCTCCATGCAGTTATGACCTTGGAGGTGTCTATGGACAACGCTGGCTCTTTGGCTTAGAAATGGAGATGAGCACCACCCCAGAGTCAGACATGAAAGACTTAATGTCAGGGGAAACCTTTACGTTCTTACTGTGATCTAGCTTTCTAATGCCTAATAAGTTGAAATTGCAAGGGTAAAAATGTACATCTGAACAATAAGATAATATATTTTGAGAGTCAGGATTGGATACTGCCAGGTGGGCACATGAGTCCTGTTGGCGTGGTCTTGGTGCCACTCTCGGGTCACATTTATGATAGTCAATACGCTGTTTATTATGTAACCGTAAAGCTGTGCCTTACAATTTTAACTTAATTGTACTTCTACCTTCACTCAGCAATATCCAAGTCCAGAGAAAGATTTCTAAGAACTTAGGGTCATCTTCTTGACCATAGTAGCTATGTGTCAAAATGATCCTATGTGGTGAATAACCAATTGAAATCGGGGGGGGGGGGTGTCTCACATGCCTCTTATCAGATTTCAGAGTGTTTCCAGTGTTTTAGGTTCTTTGACTATTAAACCCAGCTGGGTTCTATCCATTCATGTTTACTATTTTCCATATTTCTTTGGCCTGATTTTTGAGGTGCATGTAGTATGGATGAAACTAATTTTAATAGATCTGAACTTGGGTGGATTTGTATAAATTCCTAATGAGAGGGGAGAGTGAAAGTTAGTGAGTACTGAGTGCTGTAAAGGTCTTAGTAGTAGGTTTAACTGTGTGGCTTGTGTACAATAAGTGCACAAGCTACTGTACACACAGTGTCTCCTCTATAAGGTTGGGAGCAGATCCCACTGAAAATAATGAATCTTATCTGCAGAAGCACACATAATACTGCAAACTGTATTTGTTAGTATGTTTTTAAAAGATTCTACTATTTTAGACTTTTTAAATATGTGCCTAATATTTGTTGATTTCACCAATTCAGCTGAGTGCTTACAGGAAAAGCTGACTGTCAGTGTTGTTTGATAAACATTCTCCTCTGTATTTTTATTCACACGCAGAATGTAGACATTTCAAGAGATCCCGAGGAAGCCCTTGTAACTGTCCCTGCTCACCAGTGAATCCCGTTTCCTGATCAGCAATGAAACATTTGGTGCTGTTTTCAACATTTTACATTGAATTTCTTTCAATCATTCCAATCACTTTGGAATCGACTCTTAATAATATTAGTTTTTGTGTCATACATGGCATTTGGAAATCAATACACACTCAGCTCCTATTGGACCGTTAATTGATGGTCCTGTTCTGCCAAATTACATTTAATTGGTTGGGCCATTTAATTACTTGCTTTTATGATATCACTTAATTGAATATTGCTAATTTTACTGCTGATGTTTTATATCCTTTTAAAGTTCAGTCCTTTGAATTTTGTTTTGGAGGCTAAAACTTCAAGTTCTTGCTAATTTAGTGGGGCTTTTTTTCTTTAGTGATTGGATTGTTTTAAATAGAAGAGCATAATGTAATTACTAGTTAGCCTAGCTAACTAGTGCATGAATGAAGTAGGCAAGAAGACTAGCAAACTGTTTAACACTGATATTTTCGCAGATCATGAGGTGCTCACTCCTATCTTGGTGGGAAATAGTTTTTGTGATTTGATGGATCTGACTGCTCAATTTTTAAACGCTTGTCTAACAGAATATATGCTTGTGATTAATCAAGCAGCTTAAAAAAAAGACGGTTACAAAAGCTCAGGATGATTTTATGGTACTTATCAACAACATCTCAGTAGACATTTTCTGTCATCATAGAGAATACCTGCCACAAAACATACATATTATGTGTGAAAACAAAGTATGGCTTGCTCTGTATTTTACTAGCACACAAATTAACCTATTAACCAACTAATTAATCTTTGAGAATTCCATATAGTTGTTCAGGGCCAGCTGTGGCTACCTGTGGGAGAGACTTCGTTTCACTTAGATTTTGCTGTCAGCAATCTTGTAAACCAGATGTATAATACTCCCATCATACTGTGGTTTTTGGGTTTGGGGGCATTTTGCAGTACTTCAAGGGGGCATAAGGGGATACTTTTAGAAGGAAGGTTTAGGAAAATCCATATTTGTACAAAACCCATTGGAGCAGAGTCTTGGGGGATAAAAAGGTAAAATGTAATTAATTTAGTAATTGGAAGAGACTGTAGTGGACAAACAATAACTGGCAGCATTGACTTACTTGTGATGTTGCTAGAGGCGCCTGAGTGACTTAAAGTTGAATTTAGCTGGATGTAGAAAAGCATTTCCCAAGATTCTTCACCTAAACTTCTATTTGCTACTTTAGTTTGAAGGCTTCATAAAATGTTTCTTCTATGTGTTGTACACATCTTTATTATGTTGATTTTTGTTTTAGTGTTAAGTAGTCAGTTTGTAGACTTAACTCTGCGGCTGAATTGAGGTGGGAAAATGTGAAGGTCTCAATTACGGCTTTTTTAAATGCTTGTAAAATCGATGTGAAGTGAGATGGAAGTAAGATTGCTAGGGTCATAATGAACAAGTGGATGTGGGAATGACTCACCCACTTGCTTGTCATATAGATTATAAGATCGGGTGGCAAGTGGCTTCCTGTTCAAGTGATTCTACAGTGCTTCTTGAATTGACCATCTGCATATTTATGAATTATATGGAATCACAGCATCATAGACTTTGGAGATACTTGCAAGGGCCATGCAGGAATCAACAATCAAAGTACTCCTGAAAGATGGCTATCCAGCTTCCGTTTAAAAACCTTCAAAGAAGGAGATTCTACTACATGTTGAGGCAGGATATCCCACTGTAACACATCTCTTACCATCAGGAAGTTCTTCCTAATGTTTAGGTGGATCCTCTGTTCCTGTAGTTTGAATCATTGCACCATGCCTTAGTATCTGGAGCATAAAAAAGCACACTTGTTACATTTTCACTAACACATCTTTACTATATATGTAAACATGTCCTCTCTTAATCCTGCCTTCTCCAGGCTAAACATACTCAGCTCCCCAAGGCACTCCTCATATGGCTTGGCTTTAAGACCTTTTAACAGTTTAGTTATCCACATTCTAGTTTGTCAATATTTTTCTTGAATTGTGGTGCCCAGAACTGGACACAGTCTGACTAAAACAGAAGCTATACTGTAGCTTTAAATAAAAGAAACAAATTAGGAACAGAATTAAAAGGAAAGATAGAAACCACTCTCAATCAGTTAAAATGTTTTCAGCACCAGCTATAATGAATGTTCATATTGCCAACAGAAGCACCATTGAGAGGGACCAACAAAGCTTCCCTGGGCAAGGATTTCAAGAGTTTAGGAGTGACCCACTGGGAATATTTTCACTCTCATTCTCACTAAGTGGATTACAGTGGTGGTAGTGGAACTAGGACCTTAATCCCCACATAGCCCTGTATTATGAATATGGAGTTTTAAATATTCTGAATCATGGAAGGCTTGATGGGCCAGAACCCAAACCTTGAATTATGTCCAGAAGTAGCCTACTACATGTTCCCTGTAACTGAATCAGCCATACGTCTGCATCATTCGGGACTTGCTGAATTTTTTGAATGGTTTCCAAAGGAAACCCCATGTGAGGTATTTTTCAGTTGTCAAACCAGTACAAATCTTAAAGATACATCTCAGCATGGCTGGATACCACAACTTTAGAAATGGACACTGTTTCTAAGCTGTGCTGTTAAAGTCTGGCCACCATCATCAAAACCTTGGATTCCACCTTTGTAGGTAAATCCAAGAGGATGCCTTCACTGTGAGTCTGAATCTTCAAGGGGATCTAATCCCTTGGTGTTCCTTTCATATCACCAGCAGTAACTCTGTCCTACCTGGATTAAGCTTCAATTTGTGTGCTTTTATTCTCCTTTTTTTGAATTGTGGGGTGCTTTGACATGAGCGTCCCCCATACTTGAGAGTCCTGAGTCAAAGAGAAAACATGAAGGGGAAAATAGTTGCATCCTATAGACCAGGGGTCCACAAACTTTTTAAACAGAGGGCCAGGTCACAGTCCCTCAAACCATTGGAGGGCCGGATTATAATTTGAAAAAGACATGAATGAATTCGTATACACACTGCACATATCTTATTTGTAGTGCAAAAAAACACTTAAATGCAATATAATAATTAAAATGAAGAACAATTTTAACAAATATAAACTTATTACTTTTTCAATGGGAAGTGCGGGCCTGCTTTTGGCTGATGACATAGGATTATTGTTGTTGTTGTGTGCTTTCAAGTCTTTTCAGACTTCCGTTGACCCTGAGCAAGGGCCGGATAAATGACCTTGGAGGGCCGTATCCGTCCCCCGAGCCTTAGTTTGAGGACCCCTGCTATAGACTTTCATTAGCTCACTGATGAAGGCCGAACTTACTCTGTACTCCTCCTCCTCCTCTATGTGGCCTTGAAGAAAACAAATAGCAAACTGGTTTTTTGAGGCATCAGGCTCACACGTGGCTGTCTGCCAACAGTCATTCCTACTACTTGGCTTTAGAAATCTGATTTAATTCCACTTAAGTCCCACCATGATTTTTATGTAGTTTTGTCTGAATACTTTCAAAGACAATCTGCCCTGTTTTATAATCGTTCTTGCTGACAGACGGAGGGTTGGCTTTAATTCAGGAGTAGGAATTAAGCAGCATGTGCTTTCCTAACTACTACTTACAAATGGCAGCAAACCTGCAACACGCAGCAGGTTGTAGTCTGGTATTGCCAGAATTAATTTATTTATTTATCGTGTCACGAGCGAACCAAGGGTACAGTTGAGATGTATTTGAGAAAACACAAAGTTTAAAACTTGGCATTATACGAGTATTAAATGTACTTTGACCAGTAGCTAACCACTTGGAGTGCCTCTGGTGTTGCTATAAGGAGGTCCTCCATTGTGCATGTGGCAGGGCTCAGGCTGCATTGTAATAGGTGGCCTGTGGTTTGCTCTTCTCCATATTCACAAGTTGTGGACTCCCCTTTGTGGCCCCATTTCTTACGGTTGGCTCTTCATCTCGTGGATGCCAGAATAAAAACCAGATAATGTACACACCTTAGAATCCAAATATATTGCACCTGATGGAAACTTTTTCCACCTTTCTTCAACCAGAGTACACTCTTGCTTAGATTTTTTAACAGTAAATGGCAATACTTGTTCTCACACAATGTGATGTATTGGCAAAATGAAGTCATAGTGTCTTGTGGTGAAAAGCTCTTGGATTATTTGAGGTTTATTGGTGGCTCAAATCTGTGATGCTTTTTCTCTTGTTCTTGTGTGCATGGACTTTAATGCTGAAGGTGAAGATGTGCTCCCTTTTGGATGTTTACAGAACTTCCAGCATATGTTGGCCATGGCCCATGGTGGTAGTTTCCAATGTATGCTGAAAAATGAACTTCTGTCTTTAAGCTAACAAAGCATAGTATGTGGGATTTGGGGCTGAAAACAAGTAGATGCAAATCCAACAGGTTGTGGTCTCTTTGATTGTCCAGTTAAACTGCTGTGGACTGCATGGTGCAGTGCAACTGAAGCCCTGTCTATATTGAAAAGTTTATTCTGGGGTGAAAGAACTTGTAACAAAGTAATGCTATATAGAACCATCAGTGTATGGATGTAGTTAGGATGAAATATTCCAATTATAGAAGTCAATGGTTTGACTTTTGGACTTGGAAGTAAGTCTCACTGAAGTGAGTGAGACTTCCTCTCAGGTAAGTCAGCACAGTCTAGTAGCCATGATTCACGGGAAGCTTCACAAATAAGGCAAAACTTTGTCCTTGAGAGTGAAAGCCCTGAAGATGTCTGACATGTTGTCTTCGTGTTCTTTTCAGAATGTATGTGTTAACCGCTCTCGGGACGAAGCTTTGAGGACTGTACCTAATCACTTGTAACTCTCCTGACCTGGTGCCAACACCGTCCCAAACTGCTGAAGCAGCTCAAAAGGAACCACTCAGGGACATGAGAATGAAGACAGCCAAGTAACACTCAAAGGCACGCACTCCTCCTCTTTTAGACTGTGTTTTAACTACCAAGGACTTGGCATCAAAGGCTGAAGCATACCAAGTATTTATGGGATATACAATGAAAATGCTTTTAATCTATGTTGTCTTATGTTGTCCCTTGCCCGTGGATGTTAAAGGTTATGAAATTGTGTTGTTACTCAATGTAAGGGTTTGACTTCATCAAGCTTCTAAAATCTTTTCTTAAGCTATTGCTGTAGAAGACCATCTAGTCTTTCTGTATCAGTACTTTGATTATTTTATTCAAATATTATAAAATAGCCCCAAAGAGAGGATATTTTTAAATAACAGAGGGCATATATAATATTTATTGTATTGTGCAAGAAAGTATATCAATTCCTTCGAGAATCCATTCCAACTTCTGTTTTGTAAATGTGTTAATCCTGTTAATATATCAGTTTTAGCAACACTTTTTAATTATTTCAGTGCTATACAATAGACTATTAAATTGCCATTTTTTGGCTGTTTACACTCCACAAATTGGAATATTGAATTTCTTTAAAAATTAAATTAAAGGCACCACTTGATATTTCATATCTTCTATAACCAAAATTTCCTTTAAAGTGCACTCCTATCTTTTTCAGTTATTTTAAACCATCTCCGTTAATATTTTAAAATATTTTTTATAGAGAACATGAATATATTCCACAAGATAACACCATATTGTAAGCACTTTTTATTTAACAAAGGTCATTATACTTGTTTTTGTCTTTGAACTTTGGCTAAGCACAAAAGCAAACTACAAACAGGTACCAGTTGAGCTTATGAAAAGAAAGGCTTAAAAATAACACCACCTTACATGGAATGAAAAAGAACACAATAAACAGCACTGTTAAGGCAAGGTTCAAGGCAAACCATGAAACAAAATGACTCCGAAGCAGTAGCGTTATTAACATTATGGGAACATGTTTTGTTTCTTAAACCAAAGTCACATATAAAATACTGCTTCGCGTTTTTTAATTGTGGGATTGTTATTAATAATAATATGACTTGTACGGTTCTTTTGTCAGCCAAATTATATTGGCAAGATGAACTGAAAGGGATTCTTTAGATGTGTCTGTTTTACTGATATATGAAGTTTTTCCTCTCTGAAAAGCACAAGGCATGTAGAAGTCCTATAAAAAATATCTCCACTTCTCAAGAAGGGCGGACCGTTGAGTACTTTCTCTCTCGAAACCTCTGCTTCCATACATCATCATTACAGAAGAGAAAGGAAACACACTGGAACATGAAGTGGTGCAGGTTTTTCAGTACTTGCATGCATAGCTCCGCGTGGTCTTGTTGATGAATCTGTGTAATGTTCTTCCAACTAGGTGGATGCCCCACATTTTGAAATGAGTCAAATGATATACCCTTGTGCATATTAACCTTTCATTTGTATGTATTCAATAAAAGTGATACATTTTGTCAGTAATTCTTGATGTGACAGAATTTGGCAAGCAGTAGATTGGGCCCAGAATTGTGTTGGTACACAACATCAGTTATGCTGCAGCAGCTGAAGGGAGAAAACAATAGGCATGGATTTAGAGAAAGTGGGCTGATTTTGTCCATTGTCCTTGCCACACCTGACAAAAATAAAAGGAACTACACAGTGTACTACACCAACAGGATTCTGACTCTCAGGGGCCCCTTTCCACTACCCAGTACCCAATTCTAGTGTTATTATTCCACTTTAACCGTAATGTTGCATCCTATGGAATTGTGAAATTCGTTATTTGAGGAGGCGCTAGAACTCTGACTAAAAATACTCAATGCGCCTCCCTGAATTGCGAATCCCACAATTCCTTAGGATGTTGCCAGTGCAATCGGTGTGGAGTGATAGCACTCTAAATTGGGTAGGTGAAAGCTTCCATATGTGTTCGTTCTTGAAAAGAGGAAAGTTGTGTCCTCTGGAGTTGGAACATTTTTATTCACTTTCTATGTCAGTCACTTAACTGATTCTTGCCATGCTGTTAGCACTAGACCTACACACAATGCACCATAAGTTTACAACCATGGCTGGGTGCTATAATAACAACTTGCCGCTATGTTGAGTTTCTGACTTCAGCAATATTTCGTTTTCAGCAAATAAGCCATAAAAGCAATCTCATTTCAGAAAATGGAATGATTGTGTTAAACTGTAAGTGCTTTAACTGTATTTCATCTTATCAGGTAATAGTGTTTGAATTGTGGATCCCTTGTAACTGGAGTAGATGAGGACCAGAAAGTAGAGCTCTTGACCCACAGAAACATGTGGCATAAGCTATAGAACTGAGTGCTGTTCAACAATTTTCCCAAATGCAAGCTAAGGGATATGAACAATTTTTTGCAATGTAGTGGGAAGGTACAACTTTGTGTAGTAAATGCTGCACTGATAAAACAACGCTCCTTTATTTAGATGACACAATGGGCTTGTCTTCAGTGGTGGGCAAAACATTTTCTTTTAAAGTTTTCATAACCCAAAATAAGTGTTTATTTTCCTTGTTCATTTGCTTCTATGTTTCTTGTTGTGCTCTAAGATTACATGGCTAAATATTTAATGTATAGTAGATATTTTTATAATACAGACTATGATTACAGTGTGTTCTTCTATGGATGTATAAGATATCCCATCTGTTGTATGCAATTATAAATTTATGTCAATACTTGAAAATGAAAAGACTTAGGAAGCTCTGACTGGTTTTTTTTAAATTAAGCTGTGATTTTAAATGCAGAACTTAGAAGTCAGTCCCTCTTTGAATCTAATAATTGGAGTTGCTTCCAAGTAAATGAGCTTAAGATTGGACTGTTCTATTTTTTATGTTTTCCTTCAGTTCCAGAGGCTATCTTTAGAAGATCTATATTTCAACAGGACTGCTGGAAATATTAAAGGAAAGGGTAAATGCAAGAAATTCTTAAATGCAAAGGATAAATGTAAGGCTTGGTTAGTAGCAGTTTCCTGTTAAGTGTATGCTTGAGGAAAAATCTATATCTGCAACTGTATAATATGTGAAACAGCCTTTAGGGAGTACTATGAAGTCCAAGGTGTTATGAAAAGTACATGTTATAACTTCTGTATGGTGGACCCAAATGATTTTGAATGACTTTTTAGTTCAGATGCAACTGTTAAATTTATGTGCTAGTTCTGATGCAATCTTTTGCTGTTTTTGGGCCTTTAAGTTAGTATTTTAAAGGAGATGTGAATTTTATGTAGCCTAAACTCCTAAATAATAAATACTAAATTTTAAATTCTAACGTGTGTATTTAACTTCTTTCCCCATTTTGGTCTCCTTTCTGACTTAGGTTTGCAGTGCATAATCCTCAATTCTAGCAAAAAACGAAACCAGTGAGTTCTAAACATGACCAATGTTTTGGTTGTTAGTGCCCTTCCAGCTGGTGCCGGCTTGGCCATTGCATGATCAGGATGTTCAATGTCATAAGTATCTGATTTGATCCAGTAAGGCTTCGCTAGCATGTATCACATGTGCAATTAACTCTTTTTGATGTTGCTATAAGGAAGTCCTCCATTGTGCATGTGGCAGGGCTCAGGCTGTATTGCAGTAGGTGGTCTGTGGTTTGCTCTTTTTTTTTAACACAAGTGAATTAATTAAATAAGTGCACTTAATCGTTAATTGATTTTGACACTATTAGGAATATTCAAATGTTTCGGAACAGGTCCCTAAGTTGAAATATCATATTTACTTATTTATATGTCTACGTGCTGTGTAACTCAATCATAGTTTTGAAGTCAAAATTACGGATTTTGATATGACCTGTGAATAAGTTGAGGGTTATTTTGGTGGAAAGGGGATAGCATCAATCCATCACATGAGCCAGATACTTCAGCTGATGCCATTTTCTTGTCCAGGCATTCAAAAAGATTGTCTGATACCCTATTTAGGCAAGGAGATTGTCTTTCTAAAAATAGAAGTTGAGGTATAGTACTACATCCTAACAAAAAGGAAGCAATGACTTTCTCTACTCCCTTGGCACTCCTTTGAGGGGAAGCACTATAAAGCCAACCCTGCCCTTTTCCCACCCAGGCATATAACAAGGCCTGAAAATGCACTGTGGCAGAGAAAGGAAGAGGGTGTTGGCACTTCTTTTAGGTTTTCCTGGGATAGGCTTGGCTCTTGCCTTTCACCACTCTACTCAGAACTTGTATTTACCCGTGGCTAAGTTGACCTGGGTTTTTTGGGTCCATTTTTTGATTAAATTACCTATGAGTTTATACAGTAAAACTTTTGTAAATAGTGGTTTGAGTGTTGGTCTAGGACAGGGCTTCCTAAAACTTTTCCACTCATGACCCCTTTCTGCTTGATCATTTTTTTTGCTTGCTAAACAGGCTGATTTTCCATTTTACGAAGTACAGCTGAAACATTTTCTGCAGAATCCACTGTAAACACTGCATGCTTTTTGTAACCTTACTATTATGCAGGAGTGTTACTATTTGCTTTAGTACTCAACATTGTTCAGTTACTCATGAAATTTGTCCTAGGCTTTAATATAATGCTCCCTAAATATTTGCAAGGAGGCCTCATTTAAACAATAAACTGGTCATACAGATGAAATAAAGAGCCCAAACGTTTATTCATCTGGATAGAGGCCACAGAGAAGGATGAACAATTTTCTGCAATACCATTTTAGGGTCTTAAATTAGAAAAATGGGATAGACTTTGCAATAAAGCTTACATTGCAACATGGGATGCATTAGATGATGATGTGTAATGCTTGACGTTGCCTAATGCCAACTGGTATTTTGTGAACTGGAAAATTCACATATAGCTCTTTCCTAGAAGCAATTCCCTGGAAAGCTTCTGTTTTACATCAGGCCAGCTGTGAGGATCAGAGTTGTTTCTAGACTCCCATTAACTTCCCAATTGGGTGAAGTATTTGTGTAGCCAATCATCTCATAAAAGTTTTGTTAAACAAGATGTGCATCATCTAGCACAGCCTGTTAAATTCTTACTATATTATGTTTCCTCTTTCTAAAAAGTTTACAAATACATCATATGTGTAGAAATGGAAAATTACACTGCAGCCTACAAAAGCATAACTCCTAGGAAGTATTGTGTTGCCTGCTTTCCCAGCCAAGGTGTCTGCTCTTGATGGCTAGAGAATAAATATTTTTAGTAACCTATGAAACCTGGCACATGGGAAGGATATGTTTTCCAGTGAGCTGTGACTTAACTATGTGAAAAACCACGTGGCTGTGTTTCAGCCACGGCAGATAGAGCTTAAGTGAGAGCCTGGACATTTCAGTCAGCTTCAGTACTCAAGGATGCTCAGAATTAAACATGATATACATTGTAGGAGCCATACTTATGGAACCATCTAGCCAAGGAAAATGCTGAAACCACTTAGTTCTTCAGATGGTTTGAAACATCATTAAATACTTCTTAAAAAATCGGATGTGGCTCAGAGCCCGTTTTACCATAGTAAAATGTGCAATTGGCTCAGAAGGTGACTTTACTAAAATGAATGGAATAGTACATTCAGTGATCTTAAACAGAAAAGTCATACACACGATCTTGTTATGTGCCTTTAAATTGTTTCAGAGTTATGGCAACCGTGAAGTGGACATATCACTGGGTTTCTTAAGATTTATTCAGAGGAGGTTTGCCTTTGCCTTCCTCAGAGGCTGAGAGTATGTGACCTGCCCAAGGTCACCCAGTGGGTTTCCACAGCTTAGTAGAGATTTGAACCCAAGTTTTAAGAGTCACAGTTCAACGTTCAAAGCACTACACTGTGCTAGGTCCAGCAATGATTTCACATCTTTGTATTGTGCTGGTTTTTATGCCTGCTATCAAGTCCAGATGATTCTATTCTATGCTTCTGCCAGAAGTTACCATAGTTGTCTGGAGGACCTAGCAGATTTCTAGAAAGGATAGGTAAAGGTTTTCCCCTATTAAATCTAGTCGTGTCTGACTCTGGGGGTTGGTGCTCATCTCAATTTCTAAGCCAAAGAGCCGGTGTATCCATAGACACCTCCAAGGTTATGTGGCAGGCATGACTGCATGGAGCACTGTTACCTTCCTGCTGGATCGGTACCTATTGATGTACTCACATTTGCATGTTTTCAAAATGCTAGGTTGGCAGAAGCTAGGGCAGAAACTCACATTGCTCCCTGGATTCAAACCTGTGACATTTCAGTCAACAAACTTAGCAGCTTGGCTGTTTAACCCAGTGTGCCACCGGGGACCTAAAAAGGATACCTCTAGGTATTTTATAGTTTTATGATAACTTCTGGTGGAAGTTGTTCATTTAAATAGATATTATCCAGAGTTTTCCAAATCCATTGTAAGTTCAGGAGCATATTGTCTGTGGATACAGAGGTTGTACATAGCTAGAAATGTCCTTAGGTACATACCACTGATTGCAATGAAAGTACAATCAGTTCTCTATTGATGCTTACTAAGAAGGAGCCCCACAAAGTGATGGAATTTGTATCTCCCTATGTCTAGAATCCTGTTGGTGGCATAGGTAAGTTACACAGCTGCATGTACACTGTGAGATCTTGCAGGAGGAGGTATCCAGTACCTCTTTGTGGGGAAAGCTACTAGGTGCAGCTACACTGGTTTGGCCAGAGATTGGCTGTAGGGTGCATTGTAACAGCCCTCATGTGCCCTTAGGATGGGAGCTGCTCTGCATTTTTCCAGGTGCATTATGGTAACTAGAGTAAACCATACAGATAGTCAATAGTCAGGAGGACAGAGGTGCAGGAGATTTATGCTCTTCTCAGTTTACTGGATCTCAGCCTAAATGTGCTTCAGACCTGAATCACACTATGTGTTCTTTAGGCTATGGATCAAGTTTGGGTTGTGTGACCATGGCAGTCCAACAAGGAAATGGGACACGTTTTAAGAATTGCAATACTTTTCATGATTTTTAATGTGCATTCTTTCACAAACACTGATGAAAAACAAGAACTACGGAAAAGATTGTAAACTTGTTAGAATAAGGCCCTGCACAGCACTGCAGCAATCGATGGCACTTAGGAAATAAAAACAGCAATGTTTGAAACCCAAAATCAACTGAATAAAAATTCAAGTTATTTCATTTGATGTAAAAGAACTGGCTAGTCATTTTGTTTTATTTAAAAGAAACCTATCTCTTACCTCATGAGCAAAATATACAGCATACACATATATATTTCCTTCTGATGCTTAGCTACACTCAAATACACCCTCTGCCCCCCACACACAATTTACATTTTCCCCACTGATGAGAAAGCCATGTACACATGATTCACAAGGAAACTTAATCATGCAAGGCGAAGGATACCGCCAATTTCTAAAGAATTAACAGTGTAACGATTGGTTACTCTTCTGTGTTTTCCAGAACGAAGTCGAAGAGATGCCCGTATCCTTCAATATCCTTGCTTTTCACATGGAGAGCTGGAACGTTTTCATTCACAACTGTACTTCAAGAGTTCTGCTGTTTGGGAGAACTATTTCTCCAGGAGCCTTTCAAACTTAGGGTTGACAAAGGAGAACCCAGCAAATGCAGATTGGTCCATAGAGTCTATTAAGTTTTTGTCGCTGTACGATAGTCGAGGCTTCTCACTCAAAAATTCCCGGTCAAAGTTGCTGTAGTCGCTCGCTGACTTCTGCAAAGCAGAAAGACAACAGTAATAGTTAAAGCAGCTTAATCAATATAGACCACGAATTGAGGAAATGTAATTCATAGGCCAGGAACTCCTAGGAGTAAAAAAAAAAGTTTGCTATTAAAAAAATATTTTGCCACAAAGCGTCCTCTATGGGGCATGGGTTGCATTTCCACCACACTTTGTGCTCAAGGAGATGAATCACTGAATTGGAAGAGACCTCATGGGACATCCAGTCCAATCCTCTGCCAAGAAGCAGGAAAATTGCATTCAAAGCACCCCCAACAGATGGCCATCAAGCCGCTGCTTAAAAGCCTCCAAAGGAGGAGCCTCCACCACACTCAGTTTCACTGCGGAAAATAAAAATCAATTCCTTGGGAAAAAGAACTGAAAAGGAAGTGAGTTCATTCTTATGAAAAAGGCCCCTTCTGGGTCTAAAACTACAGACGAAAGGACAAAACATGTGAAAATGTCTCACATGCCACCTAGAGTGCATTTGGAGGCTATTGTTCGCTTGCTTGTGTGTGGGAGCAATTGCAATGGATGAATGTGGCCTTCCAAGGGTTGTGTGTGTGTTGGGGGGGAGGGGCGACACAGCCTTCTAGTCTTCCCTATCTGCCCACCCCAAATCTATACTATTGGCCATTATACTATTACAATTCTATTTTAATTAGCATGGCAACATCCTATGTAATGCTGGGGTCTGTTCAAGTCTTCCCTGAACAGGTAAACTCCAGATGTGTTGACTTGCCATAATCTATAGCACGCATGATATAACTATACTGGGTAGGGAGTTGTAATCCCATGATATCTGTAGTCCAGCAGATCTAGTGCCTTCATCCTAGCAATACTTGGATGATGGGGCCTCAAGTTCATGAAATAGCATGCTGCAATAATTTCATTAATATTTTAGATGCCACAGTGCTTTGCTTTTTAAATCTAGTTAACAGAACAATCCCTCATTGGGAGGGGGGAGGGAGACATTGCTCCACAGGATACAATTTTCTAGCTATAGTTGCTACCATTCCAAACTTAGGCAATCATTGCTCATAGGCAGAACAGAGGCTACTTCACACACCATTTGGTGCAATTCCTGATATATTTCAGACCTCCCAAAGGTGTGGAAAGAAAGAGTTAAATATAAGAAACTTAAATAATCAAAACTCTGCAGGAAATTGTGTTTTTAGGCTGAGTTATATTAAAAGCAGTCAAAAAGCATCCAAACGATGAGTATAGAAATGTTGGAAAATAACTTCAGGAAAATAACTGTATAACAACAACCAGCAATTTTCCTCCAGCAAATCACTATCCAATCTTTGTGTTTATGGAGTGGTCACAAGTTTTATTTATTTCACATGATGGTATTAATAGGTTTTAAAATGAAATGAACAAGAGGTGCAAACTGATAGAGCGCCACTGTCAGCTTCCCAATGAATATGCAGTTGAGAACTTAAGTGTTGCAGTCCTTTGTTCAAAGAATGTCTCACAGTACACTAACCCCCTCTGCTTTTGCATGAAAACAAGGCTCCTGTGAAAGCGGAAAAAACATGAATAAACATGCGTTCAAGGTTCATGATTTTGAGGAGTGAGATAATTCTATAGAGAACCTATTAATCAAATCCACAAATAATAAAATCTGCAAAAATGTAAACCTGCAAATGTGGAGGGTCAACTCTATTTTAAAAAGCATATTTTAATAATAATATTCTATACTGCTCTATCTCCCTGAGGGGACTCAGAAAGGATTACAGAATACACATATGGCAAATATTCAATGCAGTTATACAATCAATGAGAAAGGGGGGCTGTACATAGACAGAGGCAAGGCTTCCCTCTTTTCCATCTCCGGCATCTGGAGGCTGTGCTGTACTTGGCCACCGTGAGGTGCTGTTGCTCCATTTTTCCACACCAAGGAGCCTATTGTCCTTGGACGCCTTCCTGATCAAATTGCTGGCCTGCCTTTAGGGCGCCTTTTACCTCCCTGCCAAAGCGGTACCTATTTATTTACTCTGTTTTTGAACTGCTAGGTAAGCAGAAGTTATGGCAGATGGTGGGAGCTCACCTCAACTTGTGGCTTGAGATATTTTAAGAGATAATGGCTTAAGCTATGTGTATTTTCAAATTTGAATGTCCAACTAAGTGTGTCTTTTCTTTCTGTCTGTCTTTTTGAAGTGCATGCCTGCCATGCAAGCTATAAAAAGTAAAGCTTCCCCCATGACATTGTTAGTCATGTCTGACTTTGGTGGGTGGTGCTCATTTCCATTTCTAAGCCAAAGAGCCAATGTTGTCCATAGACGCTTCCAAGGTCATGTGGCCAGTATGACTGCATGGAGCATTGTTACCTTCCCACAGAAGCGGTACCTATTGATCTCACATTTGCATGTTTTCAAACTGCTAGGTTGGCAGAAGCTGGGGCTAACAGCAGGAGCTCACCTTGCTCCATGGATTCGAACCACCAACTTTTCGATCAGCAAGTTCAGCAGCTCAGCAGTTTAACCCATTGCACCAATAGGGAGCCCTATGCTTGCTATAAATCCTCTTAAATTATTTTATCTATTTTTTGCATTTTAATAGTATTTGTTTCCATGGAACTTATGTTTATTCATATAATTAAATGATTTAATTATTAACTTTATTTTTTGTTTAGTAGTTTACAAGTTTACAATGATGTTACCTTGCACTGTTCTTAATTTATGTGTTTGTTTATCACTGAGGCATTGATTGTTTGTCTTTTTTGCCTGGAAGCTGCCCTGAGTCTCCTCAAGGAAACAGGGCGGCCTATAAATAAAGTATTATTATTGTTATTGTTGTTGTTGTTATGACAGAATTACACTGAAGGTGTATATATAAAACAGACATAGGTGATCCCACATATGCTACTCATAGTTCCTAGATACAACACTGGAATAAAAATGTTATCTATGGAGAAATGCAGGCAGGCTCATGGGCTACATACCACTTTAGGTTTGAAAGGAGGATCCATCTCTCTCTTCTCTAGCGCTGTCCAATTTATGGCTTTGAAGAAATTGTGGTCCTTGATGCTTCCAATAACACCCAGTCGCTTTGTTGGTTCCCTTTCAAACAACTACAAAAGATAACAAAATAGCATATTTAAATAACAGCATGACTTGGAGCTGTCCAGGGTGATAAGAGGGTGGAATTGATTTATGCAGTGGAATCAATAGAACTTTAGTCATCTTGGCTTCTCCTGTAAGTGCTTTGTGCTCTGTGCTGGCAGGAATTTAAAAAGCCCACTATCATTGTGGCTGTAAAGGAAGCAAGGCACTGGAGAAATAGGCTGTGTATGTGCCTCCCCTTTCATACTACAAAATCTTGGAAAAAGTGGAACCACGAAGCTTGAGAAGCAACAAGATTCCATGTAGTTTCCCACTACTATCCTCTTCCTTTGGAGGAATCCCTGTGGCTGCTATTTGGGAGTACAGAGGCTTTGGGTTCAACATTTTGAGTTTAGAGTACTGCTTCGGCTGGGGAGAAAGCAATGTCAGATATATCCCACTGTCCCAACATGGCTCACTGTCCGAAGGCAACATATGGCTCTATAATAGCAATAGATATTAGACAGGTCAATAATAATCTCAATTTTACTGAGGAGGGAGACATAGGATGCATCTACACCACACGTGTCAAACACAAGACCCATGGGCCAAATTTGGCCCACCATGCTATTTTATGTGGCCTGCGAAGCTTTCAGGGCAACATTTGTACAGTCTTACAACTACAAACAACTCCTTGAAGGCAACCATAAGGCTGATATGGCCCTCAGTAAAAATGAGTTTGACACCTCTGATTGACACTTTAGAATTAATGTAGTGTGGCATCAATTTAATTGACATGGTTCAATGCTATGGAATCGCGAGAGTTGCAGTTTTACAAATTATTTGGTTTTTCTGCCCAGGAATGTGGGTGCCCACCAAACTACAAGCTCCCAGGATTTCATAGCATTGAGCCATGGCAGTTAAAGCAATGTCAAACTGCATTAATTCTACACTGTAGATGTATCCTTCATTTCTTTGAATACTCTATTTTACTAGGCTGTACTTTACAGAAATATTTGCCTAGGAAAGATGATATGCAATCTCCTCCTAAGAGGCACACTAACAATAGCTTTAGCATAATACATCAGAAGAGTGAAATAATGCCTTACCATTTCCTTATCAATAAAACAAAAAAAAAAATGATGCAGTCTTGGCTGGTATGTACCTTCTCGAGAATATCCTTTGATTCCTTGGTAATCCAGCGTGGGTAATGAGGAGTGTCTACCCGGATTGACTCAAACAACTCGTCTTCATCATCACCATGGTAAGGCGACTGTCCAATAAGCATCTCATACAACAAGACCCCAAATGACCACCAGTCCACAGAAAATGTGTATTTCAGTCCTTGCAGGATCTGTTGCCAACAGGAGAAAAGAAGTAAATAGAAACRGGAAGCTTTCCTACTAATTACTTATCTTCAGGAAGTATAAAAGTTTTTCAAAGTTTATKTGATGATACTTTGTCCCCTTGGTTTCACTGGCTGCACTGAGATAGCAATGAACTGTAGTTTGTGATTTCCTTCTAGGAACCTGCACGATCTCTTTAATCTTCGGGGGGGGGGGGGCTCTCCTCTCTCTCCCACTTCTGTTGCAAGCGCGACTTGTGGGAATGAGGGAGAAGGCCTTCTCTTTGGTGGCCCCTCGACTTTGGAACTCGCTACCCGGAGAGATTAGGCAAGCGCCCATTATAGCAGCCTTTAGGAAAAGCCTAAAAACCTGGCTGCTCAGGTGTGCCTTTGAGGAATGAACAACAAATCCCCACACCTCGACCAGCTCAGTACAAAAATGTCCTTTGATGCACTTTATCTCATCCTTTAGTGAAATTAAACCCCATCGCTTGTCTCATCTAAATCACCCACCAGATATACTATCCTATTCATCCATCTCACCCATGGTTTTACGATTTTATCCTTTGCTATTGGCCCAGCCCATTTATATTATTTCATATCTTGTTTTACCTTATTGTATTATCTGTTTTGTTTACATTTTGTTTGATGCTATTATCTGTTGTATGTATTTTATTTTGCTTTATTGTAATTGTTGGGCTTGGCCTCATGATAGCTGCCTTGAGTTTCCTTGAGGAGATTTTGGCAGGGTATAAATAAAGTTTCTTCATCATCTTCATCATCATTTAATTGTTATGGGAACAAGTTGTACAGCTATTTGAAAGCAGGAACCTTTTGCTTTAACTTAAAATGAATTGCAGCTGAGAACTATATCTGAACTCAACCTACTCCTTAATTTGGTTTTCTGGTAGTTGACATGTTTCAAAACATCACTTGGATCTTACTTTGAGAGAAAAGCAAGATATGAATTTAATACATTAATGAGCAAAGGTTATGATTCGCTGGCTTTGCACTTTATGCTGAGCTAGCATTATTCTGCTGAACTGCAGCAGAGCCAAAAGTTCCAATCTTGCAGCTGCACTGGAAGGGAGGAGATAAGGGACTAAAGCTTTCTGCAGCTCATTTAGGTAAGAATAAATGTATGACTGTGTCAAAAATAGGTGTTTCAAAGCAGCTGACATTAAGCAGAATTTATATATGATTTATAGTAATTAAACTGTGATGTTAAGATGCCAGATAAATACTGTATTGTAGATATAAGGGTAATATATATACAGATTACAATGGGCCATCAGTATCAGCTGGGGTTTGGTTCCAGGCCCAAAATCCACAGGGGTTCAATTTCCATTAGATACAACAGCATAATAAAATGGTATCCCTTATATAAAACAGTAATCAAAGAAGTGCTGGAGAGAGCCTGAGGATTTGTGAAATGGTGGGAGGCTGCTTTAGTGAAGTGAAGTATGCCAAAATTCATGTTTGTTTTTGGGATTCCCTCCCCCCCCCCAAAGTATTTTCAAGCTATGATTTGTTCAGACCAGTGGTTCCAAACCTTTTTTTTAACCAGGATCACTTTGACCAGGGACGTTAGTACCAAAGGGGTTACGAATCAGTTTTGGTTATTTGGGGTGCCGATTCAGAAAATTGCACTGGGCAGACCACATCAACTCTAGTTTTTGATACAGAATATATGCCAACCAATAGTCACCATCTGCTCACCCACAGAAAACCATATTTAGTAATCTAGAGTTGAAATGGTAGAAATCTTTCATGGATAGCCAGCCTCTCTCCTCCCAACATCCCTGTTGCCTTGGTACTGTAAGAGGGCTTCACTCTAGTTGCTGCATGGTTTCGAGGTGATGGTGTAGTAATGGTGAGGTTGCAGACCATATCTTTGTTTTTGCGGACCACTGGTGGTCCATGGACCACAGGTTGGGAACCACTAGTTCAGACCATGGATGCAGAACCCATGGATACATCATCATCATCCATTTTATTTATTACCCAACTCCTCTGGTGGCTCGAGGCAGGGTACAACGAAGTCAAAACATAAGAACATAGAACACATACAATAAAATACATAGCTAAAATACATCATATTAAAAACATAGAGCCAACTGTAATTATCTATGAAGTCATCTTCATTCTCATTCCCACTAGGAAAAGACTTATCATCTGAATTGGTAACTAAATGGCACACTATGTTAGAAACAGGTGGATGTGAAGTGCATGTGACTAAAAGGGGGAAAAGGTATGGATTGTAGCTTAGAATTAGATACACTGTATATTCATTCTTTAAACACCCACTTCTCCAGGAATGTGTGAAATTACCTTTGTACAATTATTATATTGAAAACTGAACAGTGCTTTCCCACAGTTTATGACTCACACCACATTTTATGAATGAAACTTATGAACTACCTAGATTTTAATGAATGCATGGCACTTTAAAGAATGCTGTTGATATCATTACACCTCCATATAACATTTAAAATTTCTTTTTGGTAGAATTCCAAGAAAAAAACTCAGCTTTGGGTTGAAAAATGTTTTTGTGCACATTATTCTGGTAGAGCGCAACATCTAATTTGCTTAATAACAAACTTACTTGTACCAGAAACCTCTTGACCTGAATCCAACATGTATTTTACTTTTTTAAACCTCTGGTACACAACATGACTTTCCAAACACTATTGGAACAAATGATTCCAGGATTTGGATAATTATTTTTTTCCATAGAAAGGGCAGGGAATTGTAGTGCAACACACCAGGAGGCACTAGGTTGGACAAGACTGCCTTAGAAATATAGATCCATTTGTTTTATTTTATTTAGTTGTATGCTTATGCTATGCAAATTTCTTACTTCAGGTGCTAAGTAATCTGGGGTACCACAGAAGGTTGTTGCCTTGTGCTCTCCAAATACATTCTCTTTGCACATCCCAAAATCAGCTATTTTGATGTGGCCTTCTTTATCAAGCATCACATTGTCTAGTTTGAGGTCTCTGTGTAAAGAATTAAGAAATACATAAAAAGATCACTTAAAGCAGAAGTGAGTACATACAAGCCCCATGCTGCAGTAGTACTAACTGTATCCACTGAAACCTCCTTTTCAGCCTCACAGGACACTTCTATTATAAACACAAAACTACATAAGTGCAAGTTCATGGGCTGGAAAAGTAGGCAGATTCTTATGCTAGGAAGGCCTGAGGCCCCTTCCTTAAATGATGAAGCAAAATTAGATTATCATGTAGATCAGGGTAAGGTAAAAGTAAAAGTTTCCCCCGACATTAAGTCTAATTGTGTTTGATTCTGGGGGTGGTGGTGCTCATTTCCATTTCTAAGCCAAAGAGCCGGTGTTGTCTGTAGACACCTCCAAGATCATGTGGCCAGCATGACTGCATGGAGCACTGTTATCTTCCCGCACAAGCGGTATCTATTGATCTACTCACATTTGCATGTTTTTGAACTGCTACGTTGGCAGAAGCTGGGGCTAACAGTGGGAGCTCAGCCCACTCCCCGGATTTGAACCACCAACCTTTTGGTCAGCAAGTTCAGCAGCTTAGCAGTTTAACCTGCTGCACCACCAGGTTATTCATGAATTACCAATCAGTGGTACATTAAATGCTTGAGCATTCAAAAGAGTACAACATCTATTACAATTGAGGCTTGCCAGGCGAAGATGACAGAGGACAATGGAAAAAGCTGGTTGCCTTAGCTAGGACACCACTCTCATTGCTACATAATTGTGTTTCTGAATTTAAAGCCAAAAGCTTCCTCAATGGGAAAAGAAACCTGAAAGTCAATATGCCTCTAAATCTACCAATCAACTTTCCCAGAGCAAATCTGGCCCACAGCACAGAGTTTCCCCAGAGCAAATCTGGCCCACAGCACAGAACCCATTTTATTACAATGCAAGATGTATTCCTTTTAACTTTGAATCCTTCCATTATTTGTTATTGAAAGCAAGCACATTGTTTAGTATTTTTTACCAAGAGATCGGCCCAATGAAATACTGGCCCAAATACTATCAATCTGCTTTGCCACTAGAATGAAGACAGACATGTCTCAGTTTTGAAGCCAAATGCTTGGCAATGAGCAACGTGAAACAAAGATCCTTTTGTGTAATGTAAATAATATCTCTTTCTTCTTGTTGCCAGGGAGAAAAGAAAACCATTAGGGATTCGTCCCAAGTACTTGCCGAATTGCCTCTTTTCAACACCTCTGGAGTAAAATCAAAATGTAATAGGCAGCCGGTTCTTTTAAAATCCTCTGCTTGTAGGTTATTCACAGGACCCACCAATTCATCACCCTGACACAACTGATACAATGTTTTACAAGACTCTTACCAAGGTCAATCAACACTCACCTATAAATAATGCCTTTGCTATGAAGAAACTGTAAGCCACACACTATTTCGGCTCCATAAAACCTGGAATAGAGTAAAAGCACTTTAAAATAGAAATGAAAACTTAAAAGTAGCAAGCCCAATGCTATTACAGTGACTGACCTCTTTGACCTCAAATTGCTTTCAGAAATCTTTCTCTTTTCATATACATCTTTAGCAGCAGTTATAAATAGGAGGTGTACAAGATATAAACTGAGTTAGAAAGCACTTATGATCAGTCAGTTTCCTTCCTCCCAGTGGCGCAATGGATTTAACCCTTGTGCCAGCAGGATTGAAGACTGACAGGTTGGAGGTTTGAATCTGGGGAGAGTGAGGATGAGCTCCCTCCGCCAGCTCCAGCTCCCCATGCGGGGACATGAGATAAGCTGCTCACAAGGATGGTAAAACAGCAAAACACCTGGGTGTCCCCTGGGCAACATCCTTGCAGATGATAAATCCTCTCACACCAGAAGCGATTTGCAGCTTCTCAAGTCGCTCCTTACATGAAAAAAAAAGTTTCCTTCCAAATCCCTCTGTCCTTTTAAAAATAGGCAGTAAGTCCTTACACATTTTAGTTCCTGGAAACCATTCCCTTCATCCTATACACTTCCCTACTTTCACTCATCCCAAGCCCATCCTTTCCTAGCTCCTTTGCATTGTCGAGATGGAAACGCAAATATTTTCTCTGCTATTCAAATCCAAATTTCATTTTTATCAAAGAGCAAAAACTTTCTCAAACCATTTGTAAGTTCTAGGTGTTATGTTGTCTTCAAACAAGATAGACATGTACCGGGTGAGGCACTCCATCAGATATCAAAGCTTGAGTTCTTTGTTTCCAAAGAAATTAATGTAATGGGTTTTTAGAAATAGTTTTCAACTCTCAAACATGACCTGAAAGTTTGATTGTTCCCTTTAATCCCAATGCAAAAGTGAACAGCACCATAATGGTCAAATATGGAGCTGTAGTTGTTTGTTGTATGGCAATTCCTTCTGCCATATTGCAGAAGTACAATACACAGTACTTCCTTTGCAAAACACTTTAAACAAATTTTTGGATTTGAAAAGGATTACCTCCAACTCAGAACATTGCTGACACTTACGTAGCTCTGTACAGATCAAAACGGCCTTTATCCTGTATATGGAACATTAGGTCTCCGCCATTAAGGAACTCCATAACAAAGAACAGATGGTCCTATTTACAAACAGGAGAGAACACAACATTAACCAACTGATGTAACTGTCTACAGCATTAACATGTGCTTTGAGTGAGTCCAGCTGCAAAATTTCACCCTCTGAATGGAAAATTTGACAAATGTTGTCAGGCATTTATTTGTTTACTTTTATTTATTACTTTACGCATATTTACTTCTTTCAACTACAAACACGCCACCCACATCACTTGGGATTCCTTAGAAATTAGAAATGAAACGATTCTATAGACAATATAAATAGAAGTGAAGAAATGGAAATAGCATGAACAAATAAAAATAATCTAAAGTGAGGGTTCACCACAGGAAGATAAATGCTTGCCAGAATAGGAAAGTTTTAACCACTCAGTGAAAAACAAAAGGAGACAGTGAAAAGGATTTTACAGGGTAAGGTATTCCACCATTTGGACACTACCATGGAAAATATCTGTTTTTCACTTAGGGGAAAAAGCACTTAGGGGTTATAATTGCGTAGTGTGAAAGGGCCCCGGGCAAGCTGATAAAGGGCAAGGCAAATGGTAGTATGGATGGGCATAAGTAGTCAGCTCCGTCATCATCTGCAAAACAGTAGATTTTGATTTCCCAAGGAAAGAAATGTGGGGATATTTTTACATGTTGTAATGGAATATGAAACACAGTTTGTCCAAGGCAAACTACCTGTCTCTTGGTAGTGTGAGCAAAAACCACATAACATGGTAATTACCATTTTAGTTTTTTTTTTGTAGGACAGTTGCACTGAGTATATTTTATCAGGGGAAGTTTTATTTTCATATTTTGTGGCTACTCATGTCACTGTTAGAACAATGTAACTGCGAACTAGGACAATTACTAGTGATCAATTCACTTTTCCTGTAATTTTGAGTGTTAACTACAGCAATGGATTAGTCTGTAAGCATAAAGATACTATTTTCCTACAAAGATGTGGTAAACAAAATTTGCTTGATGAAGAAGCCTGGAACACTTTGGAAGCTTGCACAGGTTCCTCCAGGGAGAGAGGGTGGGTTATAAATAAAGTATTATTATTATTATTATTATTATTATTATTATTATTATTATTATATTTTACATTTTGGAGTTGTTGCAATAAAGCTATTGCTACTTTGTGGGTTTTGGGGCTTGTATTTTTCTACATTGCCAATACGGTCACCGTGAGTTTGTTATATGAAAGATACAATGCACCCTTCCTGCATACAGAGCAAGTACTGCCCCGGAGAAGTGAGCCACTTTTAAACATGATCTTCAGACACTGCCTTCTTAAATAGCTCACTTTGGTTTGAATCTGCTGAGTGGTATCGTTGCTCATTTGAGAGTATCTTATGATCATTTCCTCTTTCCTGCCTCAGGTTCTCTGCTGTTGGTGTACTTCTCAAAAAAGCTCAGAAGTATTTTTGTTTGGCTAGTTGCACTGGAAGTAAAATAAAGGACTACATTGTACCTTTGTTTGAAAAGTGCAGTATAAATGGGTAAGAAATGGATTTTCCCATGCAAGGGCTAAGACCCGCTTTTCCACCATGGTACATTCCACGTCATCATCAATTAGCACCACATCCTTTTTCAAAGCCTTTACTGCAAAAAATTCATTCTTCCCTTTCAGTTCAGCAAGTAGTACCTATAAAAGAGAATATAACTTTGAGATACAAATAATTAGATTGAATTACATTTTTTCCAGCTGATAAAATATTGAATTTGCTCCTTTGTGATCTAACAGCTACAACATGCTGTCTGATTTTCTGATGATAAGCATACAAATATTCACTCTGTAGCCATATTGGAGTTCACATGAAACACTGAAGGGTGTTGTTATGTCTTGAAGATCACAAACAACCCAAACTTTTATGGTTTATATCAGACATAATCCCTTTCCCTAGGTAATTTAGAATGATACCTCTCATGTTCTCCTTCTGTCAGCAGGAAAAGATTTTTTAAAATATTCCAGTAGGTTTTGCTAACTAACCAACCAATGGAATAATGAGACCATAAGGCAAAATATGGGTTAAAATATGGTCAGGTTTATTAACTGTCATGTATTCAAATGTTTCTCAGTGATATTCCAAAACTAGTAAGGGCAACCACCCGGTGTGGCAACAACTAAGGCAGTAGGTGTCTCCTAGACCTTTTCTTCAATTTCCCCTGGGTGAGAACACTGTAATACTCAAAAAGAACCCAACTTAAAATTGGGATACTCCCAGGCCAACTGTCAAGATGGAAAGATGGCTCAAGGGAATCATCCCTTAAGCTACATGCTCCCTGAAATGGGCAAAAACCCTGAGACCAGCTTCAACGGCAGTAAATTTGCCCAACATCTGATAGCATGATGCTCAGAGGCAGACACAGATTCCCATCCTTTGAGAGTGTTCACCAACCTTGTCATATCTTCTTGCAAGACCTGCCAGTGAAACCTATTTAAGGCATCACCCTTAGGTAGTGGCAAGTTCCCTGTGACAGTGTAGGGTACCAGTGAAAAACCCATTAAGGAAGAGGAAAATATTCCTGCCCAGCCCCAAAGCAACCATCAAACTTATACTGTCAAGGTGTAAAAAGGGGGAGATACAGGGTGGAAAGCCTTAGGATCAGCCCTGCTTTTTAAACTAAGGATCCTGCCAATACACAGCTTATTCTGGCCTCTCTCCATCTGAGGTCAGCAAAAGGACTTCCCCATAATGCAAAGCTAAGGGTGAGGACTTTCATAGATGCAATATAGTATTGAACTATTTTTTATTATTTTATGTCACTTTTTAATGCAGTTTTAATGTTGACATTAATGTTTTAACTATATTATAACTGTAATGTGTAAGCAACCTTGACTCCTTTTTCTTTTTAGACAAAAGATACGCAAATATCATCGATATCATCAAATGCATGAAGCACTATCCAAAGCAATGAACTCTGACAACATGGACAGTTTTATAGCATTTATAAGCAAAGTACAAATGTTTCTCAGATAAGAAAAAGCTGAAAGAGATCATAATATTTTCCTTAAAATGTCATGGTCAAACAAGCGTTTACTGAAGGAAAGAAGTCCATGTTCCTAACGCACTTTCACTGGTTTCTGATTTTTTTTAAAGAAATATCAGTATTTTGTCCATTGTTTGATGTCTCCATACTGTTTAAAATTAGTGGAGTGATATGTTCCAAATGGGGATGACAATAATGTTCCAGCTCATTCTTTTCTCTCTGAAGCATCTGCATGTTCATTCTGACTAACACCTTCTGATCCGCTAGACTTCTGCCTTTCATTTCCTTTATTCCTTTCTGCTTTAACTTGGAGCTGGAGGGTTCATTTAAAATGTAAAGAGAAGTTAATTACCTTTCCAAAGCTTCCTTTCCCAAGAACTTTATGGAAGATAAAACTGTCTATGTTGAAATTCCTCCTGGATGGCCGGGACAGTGATCTTCCTTCCCAGAGCTTATCATACTCACTATTATCTGTAAAAACAAAACCCTGCAATTATGACAAGAAAACTCCCACCATATGGCCTGCTACTGCCATTTATAAGTGCAAAGAACATTTTTGTGAAGCTGCTCATGTCACTAACAGGAATGTAAACAACAATACAGAATCCACCAAGCCAAACCAATAGTTCAAGGGGATACAACCTCAGGATTTTGTTATTGCTTTACTCTGATTGTCATGTCTTTGTATACAACCTTGCACAGTCTAAAGGTTCAACAAACAATATGCATCAATGGACTCAAATATGATAGTGTAGAGAAGAAAACTCTAATTTGAAATTATTTCTTGTAAAATGCCTTTAAGCCTTAAAAATATCAACACAGTGGATCTAGCAATACCTACAATTTTGGTTCATGTACTGAAAATTGAAATACATGTTGAATTGGTCTAGTGTGCTATTTCTTACTATTGTGCTTTGCTGCATATGTCCTTGCATATTAACATAGTAATAATAATAATAATAATAATAATAATAATAATAATAATAATAACAACTCAGAGCAGATTACAACATGCACAGACAGGCAAACATTCAATGCCATTAGTATAGTGAATTAACAATGACACACAAATATACAGAACAAAGGTAAAGGCTTCCCCTTTCATCTCTCGCTTCTGGAGGCGGTGCTCAACTCCAGCCATGGGGAGGTGCTCTTTCTCCATTTCCAAACTGAGGAGCCTGTTGTCTGTAGACACCTCCTGGTCATGTTGCCAGAATGGCTGCATGGGTGTCTTTTACTACTTTCTAACCAAAGTGGTACCTATTGATCTACTCACATTTGCAGGTTTTTGAACTGCTAGGTTGGCAGTATCTGGGGCTAACAGCGGGAGCTCCCCCCAACCTGTGGCTTCGAATTGCCAACCTTTAAGTCAGCAGATTCAACAGTTCAATGGTTTAACCTGTTGCACTACAGCGACCCATTTTTAAAAAAAAATCTTATAAGCAATTATTTGTGTTATGATAGTGAATATGTTCATGTTTAAATCTAATCCACAATAAGAACAATTCAACTTATTTTTCACCTGTTGTATCCCCACCTAAGGCTTTAGGTTGCTTATCAAAATCCTGGTAAATGCCAACACTTTCTACTGACCCAGAATCAGATTTTCTTGAAGATCTCTGAAAAAAAGAAAAAAAAATCTCAATTTTAATTCAGCATTTCAGTTATCAAAAATCAGGAAAATACTAATATATTCATGCTTTAAAATTAGTATTAGGATATTCTTTGGCCTGATGGAATACATTTTGCTATATAATGTGAGGAATACATGTGCATGTTTGCTTTTGGAAATAAATAATGAGTTATTTTAATATCTAGTATCATTCTTGACAGAAGAACTGCTTTCTAGATTGTACTAATAAACTGGCTAGGCAACTGATAAATGATCATGTCATGTGAAACACACCAATGCTACAAATGTACATATTTCATTATTTTTTCTACAGTGAGATTAGAACTGCTGAGAAAAAGCTCTATTCAAAGTTGTCTACAAGCTTCTTCCAAATACTCCATAATTATCATCTTCTTCACAGTTATGAAGGATAAAAATGGATGCCTCTTCTTTTAAAAATCATGAAACCGAAGCCTAAAATCATATTGCTAGTCCCAAACAGTGTAGGCCCACTGAATCAATATGAATTTAGTCATGTCACGTCACTTCACTTAGGTGATCTCTCATTGTCCGAGTATGATGGCTCCAAGTGTAGTGTCTTGGCGGTGGGTCCATAGGTGGCTGTGGAGCCCTATTCTTGACCCTCATGTCCTTTCATAGTGAGGACACTGGTTTCCAGGTGGAAGGTAGTTCCGGTCAGGTTGGCTTGATGCGCCTTCCTCTTGGCACATTTCTCCCTTTTGCCCTCTATTCGAGCCTCTTCGAATTCCACAGCACTGCTGGTCACAGCTGAATTTAGTAAGCCAACACTTATTGGAGTAAATAATACTTCCAGGACGCTTTTAGGAGTGTGATTTGGGCTGCTTCCCACTGATCTTCTTCTCAAGAGAAATTGCAATCTTTTTTGCTATCATGGAAGTTATGTATTGATTGGACCTCACCACTTACATTATATCTCTGTATCTCTCAATTTGTACTTCAATGGACATTCAGCAAAACAAGGAAAGTAATATTGCAATGGTAGGATAATACAGATGTCAAGATTAGCAGATGTTACTCACACAGTATAGCATGTGCAATACTGTAGCAAGTGCTCTGAAATTCCAATTAAAAAAATGAATGAGGAAAGGCGATACGCAAAAGAAATATTAACCGGACATACCTGACTAACTTGAGTTAGCGCTTCTGCCAATAGTTTCTGATTGATCCCACATAGATTTGCCACTTTCTTTTGACATTTGTGATGAACATTCATTCCACATTCTACATAAATGAAAATAGTGTAATTAGTGTAATATTTTTTTGTCATGTCAGGAGCGACTTGAGAAACTGCAAGTTGCTTCTGGTGTGAGAGAATTGGCCGCCTGCAAGGACGTTGCCCAGGGAACGCCCAGATGATTTGATGTTTTTTTATCATCCTTGTGGGAGGCTTCTCTCATGTCCCCGCATGAGGAGCTGGAGTTGATAGAGGGAGCTCATCCGCCTCTCCCCGGATTCGAACCTGCGACCTGTCGGTCTTCAGTCCTGCCAGAACAAGGGTTTAACCCACTGCGCCACCGGGGGCTCCTAGTGTAATAATAATTTGTGAGCATTATAAATTAACCTACTATTTTTTTCTTGGTGTGCAATTATTCTCTCTTTGGTCATTGAGCACTTTAACGGGAACATAAAGTTTACATTTCCCCTTTTTATGTTTCAATATTAAAAGAGGAAAAATATTACCGAGTGAAAAAAAGGAGAAAAGCATTTAGTTTGGAAGTCATTCACTGTTTTTTCAGCTGTGAATATGGCTGAAGGTCAGCAACGACTTTCCTTAAAAGAAGAAGTGTATTGATTCTTTTCTTTTTAAAAAAGAAATGCATATAAAAAAAAACATAAACAGGAAATAGACTCCATCCTAAAATAGCCCAGTGTGGCTCTTTTGCTCTGAGCTTTAAATGCATAAATGAAATGGGCCATACCTTCACACTTCAGTCCTTGTTTAACTAGCCCCCAAAGAAGACTCCCACAATGATCGCAGAAGGTAGGGCTCATGTAATTGTAAACTTTGAATCTGTGGGGCATATCAATGTGGAAGCGCTCCTTCTGAAACTGAAAGCATATTTGTGTCAGAAAAGAAGTTAGGATATGTTGAAATCTCCTTATGTCTTGTACAAATTAACATTTATATCCCGGTTATCAATTTCTTCTCTTGCTATCTGCAGGTGCCTACTTTAGATTTTTTCTTTAGCAGACATGAAGACCATTTAATTTACTATGTTTTTAAAAATAATTCTTTGCTGGGGTTTTTAATCAATTCAATATGTTTAAATTCTGATGTTTTGTGTTTGATTTGACTTCAGATGCTTTTTAAATTGATATGAATTTAGCTGCTCTTGAAATGTTAATAATAACAATAATAACAATAATAATAACATGCTTTATTTATATTCCTGGAGGGACTTGGAGCAGATTACAGTTTACACACATAAGACAAACATTCAGTGCCTTTTTTACACAGTAATAATGACATGCAGTACACACAAAGGTAAAGGACTTCCCCTTTCTACTTCTGGTGCCTGGAGGTGATGCTCAACTCCAGCCATGGGGAGGTGCTCTTGTTCCATTTTTCCATGCCAAGGATTATGTTATCCACAGACTCCGATTGTGTTGCCTGCATGTCTACATGGGGCGCCCTTTTACCTCCCTGCCAAAGTGGTACCTATTGATCTACTCGCATTACATGTTTTCGAACTGCTAGGTAGGCAGAAGCTAGGGCTGACAGCTGGGAGCTTACCCCAACTCGTGGCTTCGAACTGCTAACCTTTTCTATTTTAGAAATATACCTCTCAGTAATAATGGGCCATGGTAGCTCAGCAGGTTAAAACACTAGCAGCAGGAAATTTGCTGAGTGGAGGCAGGTACATTATTGAGAGGTACATTTCTAAAATGAACCAGCTGAAATTTAGCACATTCAAATATTGTATTTATTTGAGTAATCGGCAAAAAACAAAACAAAAAACAAAGCATTTGGCTTTCTTTCATTTTTTGACGAAGAACCAATAACTCATGGACAGGATTATGTAACACTGTATTACTTACCATTGTATCTCTACTGTTTGCTGCAGTACCGGTACATCTCCCAATGATTTTATCAATGCATTTTTTGTGAATAGCAGCATTACATTCTTCAGAAGAGCAACAATAACAGAAAGATACAAACAGTTAAATGTTTGTGGTGGACAGGTGGCAGCTCTATGAAGTACTTTACCAAGAAATTACCCATTCCTACTTTAAATGAACATATATATTTCAATAAACACAATAAGCAGTTTTCCCTTCATTTTCATTTACAATTTCTATATTTATAATTTGATTTATTTCAGTGATAAGAAGATTTAGAAAAGTTTTACTAGCCGTTTTGCGTCCCCTTTGTGGGGAGAAAAAACGAGGTATAAATAAACATAACAACAAAAACAACAACAACAACAACAATTTAAGTTGTGTTAAGTCATAATAGACTGGTTAGTATTTATTCTACTTCAACACAAAAGAGAAAAATCCACTTAAAATCCGGTTTCTGCCTCCTGCAGAATTCTGGGGTTTGTAGTTTAGGGAGGAGCCTTTAACAGCCTCACTAAACTACAAACCCCAGAATTCTGCAGGAAGCAGAAATTGGATTTTAAGTGGATTTTTTTCTCTAATGTGATGAAGATGTTTTTACAAAAAAAAAACACATTACCCTGAAAAATGTTAGACTTAGATGAATTTTATAAGCTGTTGCACTACTAATAAAACAGTTTGTACTAAATAAATGTATCAACTGTTGCTCAATGGTTGCTGAAACCAAAAAATAAAAGATGAAACAGCCTACTTACGTCTACATTTGTATCCTTGCTTGTTTAGTCCCCTGTAAAAGAAACAGGGAAGGTTATTAGCACACTGCACAGAACAAATGTCCCCAGACCTCAAAGACAAAGACCACTTTATTAGCTGAGATTCTACATAACTCCTCTGTAATAAGGCATATTTGTACCTATGCCTTACTACAGATGGCACAATTCGGTTTTTAACTGAAGTAACATGAATCCCTAGTTCTACAATTCTCAGTGGTCCTAGTCTGGAGCAAATGTCTTAGGAAACAGAAGATGTAATCAAAATACTTGAGTCAAGAAAATGCTTCTGCAGTGGTCTTCTGAAGCAAAAAAAAGAAAGAAAAGATGTCTGTTGATGTTGGGAGGAGCCTTGCCTTTTATACATTCAGATGAATATTACCATCCATTCCTTAAGGATTCCAAAATAGCCCCTCCATTTAATTCATGGTTCAAATTGACAAAAAACAAGATACAATGAATTCAAAGTATAGAAACAATAATTTTAGATCGTATGGGTTTTAATGACATCAGTTCACTAATAACTATTAACAAATAGATATCAGTACTAAGAGAGATCTAATGTTGTGCTATTGGAGGCCTGCTAGATATGTCATTCATTTTAAGAATTCAATAAAAAGTGATCACTACTTTTAACTATCCACATTTGATACACTGGTTATGTGATAGAGAGGGATTTGACAACTATCCAGCTCAGCAATAACTCTGAGGTGAGCACAGACTAGGAATCCTCAACAAACGCTAAATGAACTGAAATAAAATAAGAAAACTTGGATAGGTGTCAGGCTGCAAGCTTGCCTGGTGTCCTGGGCAGATATCACCAGAAATAAATGTGGTCTTCCAGTATTGGGTTCTTGTAGGGAAAACTGACAGGTTGAATAAGTCAGTCCCATCTGCATTCCTATCCTCCCTTCCTGCACAGTAATTATTATGTATTTTCCTTAGCAAAGGCCCTTTTCATATTCCTTCCCCTGCCTGAAAAAAGCAAAAATTGATTTTTTTCACTCTTGACACAGGGTGGGATGAGTTTACTATGGGATATTTTCACTAATTCACAGACTTTAAGCACATCTACAATGACAAAATAATGCAGGATGAAAGTGGCAAAAGAGAGTGACCATGTAGCTGATCACACATTAAGAGCAAAGACAAGTTATGCATGGATGGTGCTTATACACACTTGGGAGTTCAGCTCCGACATTGGTTTCACCATGTGATGTGGTTACACCAACACACACTGATGTGCATCATGGGATTATTTTGGAGTATCCCACAATTTTGCTTATCACAGTTTCTCTAAAGCAGCATTTCTCAGCCTGGGGGTCGGGATGCCTGCAGGTGGGGTTGCTAGGGGGTTTCAGAGGGGTCACCAAAGACCATCAAGAAAACACATATTTTTGATGGTCTTAGGAACCCCTTTGGCAGAGAAGGTGACGATCTCTCCACCTGTCCTTCTCTTCCTTTTTGGAAACAGACTGTGAATCCTCCCACCAAAAGCCCTCCTCTTGCTGTGATTGGCCAGCCTCTCAGCAAAGGGGAGGGCTGTTTCTGAAACTCCAAGCATGTTCGGTCCATGGCAGTTTGGTGCCCATATGCAAATGAGTGAGAGCGCGTAAGGCTGGAGGGAGGCAGGGGGAAAAGCAGTCTCTGATTGTAGGTTAACTATAAATCCCAGCAACTACAACTCTCAAATGAAAAAAATCAATCCCCCCCACCCCACCAGCATTCAAATTTGGGGGTATCAGATATTTGTGCCAAATTTGGTGCAGTGAATGGAAATACATCCTGCATATCAGATATTTACACGATTCATAATAGTAGCAAAATTACAGTTAAGAAGTAATAACGAAAATAATGCTATGGTTGGGGGTCACCACAACATGAGAAACTGTATTAAGGGGTTGCAGCATTAGGAAGTTTGAGAAACACTGCTCTAAAGCATATTTCTATGCACATTCGCATTGTGCATCATTTGAACACCTCATTTTTGGGAGGCTTACAATTAATGTTAAGTGGTCAGGGTAGATGTGCCCTCTATCTGCTTATTTTACATAACTTGGACAACATACCTGAGCCAGAAATGTTTTTTTAGTGTAAACTTAGCTAATTGTTTATCCTTAAGGTGTGTGTATGGTGTCATGATCAGCCATTTAAAGGCTATCTCTTCTCATACACATTTTAAGTCTAAAACAGCCTTTCAAGAATAAAATAGGTTTGGAATTGGAAGAATAGGTAGGAATGGGGGGGGGGTAGTATCATTTTGAGGTCATTTTTGGCAGGAGGACTGTAGGCTGATTTAGGGGCTGGAAGGCTGCATGTGGCTTATGGTCTTTACTTTGCCCATCCATGGACAAAAAGCATCTTTGCATGTGCTTTCTGTACCATTGTTTATATTTTTAAAAATATAATATAATTTGTGTATATTTTATTTTTCCAAAGCAAGATGAAATCTGTTTTGCAACAGGTCTAAGGAGGTATGAAATGGACACCTTCATTGAGAATCTCAGCTGTATTAATTTTTTTTTCTCCATTCCTAAATCAAGGTTATGATAGTGTATTTTTACTCAAGCTTACAATAGAAATATTGAAATCCTTTGGCACTAGCCATATAACAAACATGTATGTAAACATATTGCTATAACACAGCTATTCTCCTCACCAAACAAATTCTTTACAGACTGAGCAAAATGTAGGTTGCCCAAAGAAGGTGGCAATAAATTCATGGTTCTTGATGTAGTGGATCTTTGCCTGTTTGATTGCGCCTCTTCTGTTTATAGTCACTGTTCCCTCCTGCATTGAGCTGGAATCTAAAAGAAATGAAATGGAAATGAAAGTGTTGCCACACACATTTATATTTTAACAGCTAATTTTTAACTTTGGAACAAAATGTTAAGAATGTGTTAAAAATAATTGGGTAACAGTTCTTTTCTCTTCATTTGGTCCTGCAGTCATTTTAAGTTTTAAAAGAACCAGATCTGTCAAACAAAACCCAAGTACCATGTGTTTTGCATAGATATAGCACAGGGTAGGATGAGAAAAAAGAATATTTGAACACCAGTTCTGGAGAAAGAGTGTAAGTTCCAAATTCTAATCTCCACAACAGCATTAGCATCCAAATTTTATGTCTTGTGACAGAAATGTAAGAAATTCACAATATAGGAAAACCAGAAGTCAACAGGCAACTTGAAAGCATACACATGTATACACACACACACACAATTCTTTTAAAAATATCATGGTGCATTTTACAATATTATTCATCAGCTATCATCAGTGTTAGTGAATTTTATGTGTGACCCAAGACAATTCTTTTTCCAATATGGATGTCCAATCCGCAAGATTGGACATCCCTTCTCTAGCAGATGTCTTGATGACTACACATTCAAATCCTTTAAAACTGAAGTAAAATAAAGCTTCTGGTCAAGAATATTTTCATGATTACTGTCAGCTACAGAGCATCTTAGAAGCTCTATTTTGGGCACAATTTCTGTTGCCATTTATATGTTTGCAGCTTAGTGAGATAATTAAAGTTTGAATTCTAAACATTTAGGGAGGGCAACAGCCTCATGGCACCAAATGAAAAGAAGATTGTATTTCATCAATGAACATGGTCACTCTACTTCAAGTATATTAGTTCAGGTTGAAGCTAGCAGGGAGAATGTCTCTGTAAGCTAAGAACAACATAGTAGGAAATATTTTAAAAAGTATCTTTGTGGCTTTATTGTAAGCAATGTTTTCATGTTAAAACTTGGAGAGACAGGAGATGGACCTAAACACCCACAAAGTACACAGCTGTTCTTTGGTTTTGCCTTCTGTGAGGGTTATTTTATTTTGAAAAGTGAAAAAGTTGAAATGTTTACCAATTGATTGCTTCTTACTTTAAATATCCCTAGTCTACAAACTGAGATAATTGCTATTAGAAATATTTTGAACTTTTATTGTATGTAAACAATTGCAATGGCTTACTTGGCAATATTTAATAATACCAACAACTGCTTTATTACAATTGAATTGTAGTACTTTAGCTCTGAAAAAGAGAACCCCATGCCCTCAACTTTTTATTCTTATACCATGTAGTTCCACAATTACAATGCCTAATTAATCTGGTTTTGCCATGCTGAATGTGTTCTTTTAAGTAACAACACAAAAACTGCTTGAAACTGTAGATGAATTTCAACTGTAAGGACTAGTTCTTTTTTGACTCCCATTCACATATCCTACACTCCCTTCACTCTTTCTCTTATTCATTCTTCATGCGAACTGGAAAGTTGGAAACAATGTTTGATAAATCTTCTGTTTGCAAAATATCAATATTTCAACACAATTCTTCCTATGCATTACTCATCTTTAGTGATTGCTCACTTTAATAAGTGAATGAAACATCTACTTTTTGCTGAGCCTTTAGCCCTGGAGGAATTAGGCAGGATATTAACCAGTCCTATCTTGGAGTGGAAAATTAACTCTCTACTTTCCCCAAGAATGTTTATCTCTCCATAAGCTGGAATCCCACAAAATAAATGTTTCTCTGTAGTCAATTAATATATTTAGACACGGGGTCAAGCCAGTTAAGTTTTATATTATGGTCCTGAGGACATAACTACCACCACCTCCACCTCCACCTCCACCTCCACCTCCACCACCACCACCTCCTCCTCCTCCTCCTCCTCCAGAAACAGTTTAGGAGAGAATCTTAGTTTGTGGTCTTTGAGGATGTGCTTAATTTACTGCAATAACTGAGACAATTCCTGCTAACCTTTGTGCAATACTCTTGTGGTCCATTTCTGATCTTACCATGGTTTTCCAATGAAGAACTTGAAATCTTGTGTGGGCTTGTAGGGGAAATAATTGCTGATTGATTGTAAAAGAAAGGCAGATAAGCCTTGGCTGACATAGAAATAAATGCTGATCTAACTCTTACAATTCCAGCCACAAATGGCTGATGATGGTGGTAGAATCTGAATGCTTATGGTAATCTCCTCCACATGTTGAAAGTAGGGGTTGATGGTTTGTTTAATAATGCAGAATAATAGAACTGGAAGCAACATTAAACTTCCGTCTTATATTTAATCTGTGTTCTGTGTATTTTAATATATATTTTGTAGATATGTTTTAATATGTACATTTTGTTGAATGTTTTTAAAGGATTGTGTGTTTCTAGCAATGTTGTGACCCACCTCGAAGCATGAGGAGAGGGGGGATAAGAAATACTATTATTATTATTATTATTATTATTATTATTATTATTTTACTGACACAAAAACACAATATGTCACAGCAAATGAGATATATACGCTGGATTTTGTATCACAAAATCACAAGTTGAACACTTCCCAAGAGTCTAGGAATGTGTGATTTATTATTATTATTATTATTATTATTATTATTATTATTATTATTATTGGAGCCCCCGGTGGTGCAGTGGGTTAAACCCCTATGCTGGTAGGACTGAAGACCGACAGGTCAGAGGTTTGAATCCCATGAGAGAAGTCTCCCACAAGGATGATAAAACATCAAAACATCCAGGCATCCTCTGGGCAACGTCCTTTCAGACGGCCAATTCTCTCACACCAGAAACAACTTGCAGTTTCTCAAGTCACTCCTGACACGACAAAAAATATTATTATTACGTCCAACCCCTTGCACAGATCAGGATCTCCAACTAGGGCCTCCCAGCAGGCCACTGTCCAGCCATCTCCAGAAAAGGAGACCCTAGGCAATTGGTTCCATTGCTGAACTGCCCTCACTGTCAGTTCTTTCTAATGTTCATCGAGATTGTACTAGACTTGTTTTAAAAAACAATCAAGAACAGAAATGGGTTCAGGAGAGGTATCATGGATTTAAAAACATACGCACACACATTAGAAACTGCTCTCTAGTTGCTAAAATATTAAAAGAGCAAACTGTATATGGGAAATAAACCATTTTCTAATCCAAACTTTCCTTAGTTTATGGCTTCCTTAAATCAAGAATTGGAACTTCAATTGTATGTGGTGTCAAAAGCAGAACCAGCTCAATGTAATGTAATGTCACTAAATGCTAAGCAACATGACTTTATTCAAGCTTGAAACAGCACACACGCTCCAAGACTCGGACACAAACAACAACAAATTAGAGTAACAGCCATGACTTTCATTCAGTTAATTCAATATTCACTCTGGCCAGGCAACTGCGGGTACTTGTGGTTCTTCCTCATCATATGGCATTATTTTAGTGTCCTCAACAGAAGAGTCAAATGTAAAATAGAGGAAACATAACCACACCGTGTCTTATTTTTTTTATCTTAGCAGTGAAATAAAACGTATTTCTGAGTGCTTTACTGACTTCTTTTTTTTTGGGGGGGGGGGGGATCACTTTCGTGTCCTTAGCTCAGAATTCTTCAAAAGTTCCCATCATAATTCCACCACTCCAAACAAACATAAATAACCAACTTTCTAGCCTTTCATAACATAAATGAATGGGAAGGTAATATTTCAGCAGTCAGTAGACCGGATGTACAATATCCAGTTGTTACATCTTCATATTTTTGGCAACAGCGTCAGGCCAACTGTACTTCTAGTTGATGTTCCCACAAAGTAACTGCTTGCTGGCACCACAAATTTTAAACTTATATACAGGAGGAACAAAAGCACTGTTTGGTTATTCTAGGTGGCAGGCAAACCAACCCAGATTACTCTTGAAACAAGATAACTAATAGGTCTGAATGTGGAACAGATAGTGCTACCTCTCTCTTTAACAGTTGCAACTACTCGTATTTTTGGATATGGCTCATCCTTATTGAAACCAGAACTTTATTGGTTTATAAAATACTAAAAGAGTTCTCTCTTTGAAGTAACAATCTTCATGGAAATTATGAATGATTTCAAAATAAACTGTTTAATTCAAGAGCCACCACCACCAATGGAACAAATGTTAACACTCAAGGAAATTGTTGCAACAGTTGCTGCATACAAAGAAGTAAAATTCAAATAATACTGGGGTTCCACTACTCTGGAGCACGTCAGAGCTGTTTTTCACTATTTTATGGTTTTTGTTGCTTCTATTGTTTTTATATGGTCTATATTATATGTTATTGTTTTTAATTATATTTTATGTTGTTGTCGACATTGATTGCAGATTGTAAACCACCGCAAGTAGCCTTCGGGCTGAGAAAGGCAGTATACAAATACAGTGAATAATAAATAATAATAATAATAAATAATAATAAATAAGGGTGGGGTATTTTGTTTTATATGTATATATCTATATCTCTCTATATCTCTTTATGTAAAGGTAAAGGTAAAGGTAGTCCCCTGACTTTAAGTCCAGTCATGTCTGACTCTGGGGTGTGGTGCTCATCTCCATTTCTAAGCCGAAGAGCCAGCGTTGTCTGTAGACACCTCCAAGGTCATGTGGCCGGCATGACTGCATGGAGCGCCGTTACCTTCCCGCCGGAGCGGTACCTATTGATCTACTCACATTTGCATATTTTCGAACTGCTAGGTTGGCAGAAGCTAGGGCTGACAGCGGAAGCTCACGCCGCTCCCCGGAATCAAACCTGTGACCTTTCGATCAACAAGCTCAGCAGCTCAGTGCTTTAACCCACTGAGCCACCGGGGGCTCCTATCTCTTTATATATTATGTATATTTATAGAGGGATCTGCAAACTCCTGTATGTTTATTATTTATTTAACAGCTGTGGGTCCATGGACTGTAATAAAGTTTTGTTGTTGTTTATATCTCTCTATATATTATGTATATTAATACCTCACTTTTTCTCTCCACAAGGAGACTCAAATGCAAAGTGGCTTGCATTAAATGAAATGGAGAC